AATAGAAATTTCCGTGAAATACTTTCAAAACGCTACTACTCCTAGTTTTCATTTGATTTCAATATAACTTGTCACAAAAGTAGACTACATTAAGATACATAATTCTATTTATTGTTGCATGTTGCAATGTTTCAAATCCAAGTGCTACTTTTCTTTTGTTATACAAACAGACCAGTAGAGCTACAGTCTCATCAGAGACTTCTGGTTATGAGATCAATCTCTGTTCGTTATCTTCACCTTGTCACTTAAACGAATACGAGGGGTGATCAAAAAGTTCGCCAACTATCTCTATATTTACAAAACCACAATTCAGAACAGAATGAAATTTGGCACACATAAAGCCATACATAAATTCTATAAATAGCAGGTGTTGTATATTGTTTTCCTCCGTGTTTGTGACGTCACAATGTGAAAATGACGTCAATATGTAGGTGACTTGTAACAAAATATGGTTGACCCAGTCGTGCTCGAGCAACGAACGGCTGTAAAGTTTAATGCATATCTTAGAAATTCCTTTGCAGTAGAATATGATAATTTGTACAAGGTTTATGAAGACAAAAGACTCACCAGAAGTTCAATCATTAATTGGATTGATTGTTTCAGTGAAGGCAGGAAGATGGTTAAAAATTATGTTTGTTCTGTTGCCCAGCGAAAGCAAGCTGAGGAAAAGATGTGTCCTTAGTTGAGCAATTTGTTACGAAAAATCGCCAAGTTACAATTAGAAAAATAGTTGAACATCTTAACAATAATATAATTTTTAAATCCCTAAAATGTAGTTTACAGTTTTTAAATATATGAGATATGATAAAAAGAGATCGTCCATACTTTATCCACATTGGATAAATGACAGTTCCGAGACAGAGGACTCGGGTTTTGATGATCACCATGCTAATTCTGGGAAGGGGATGTCCTTTTCCACCCACCCTATTGCCGAAATTTGGCCATTTCTCACAGATGGACTGTTCTTGTTATGAAAAAGAACTTGTATGTTAAGAAATATAAGACTTGGAAAAAGCTTTTAGCTTCTGTGAACAGAACGCTACGGAGCATGTCACGTGACCGCCTGGATCAAGTGATTCGCGCATGTGCAGAACAATGACAAGTTTTGTATTATAGTCGGAGAGGGCTCCTTAAAAAAGATAATGAGCACTGAAACCACATTTTATTTCTGTTAAGAAAATAATTCAACTAGTTCGCGAGCTCTTTGATTACCCCTCTTATGTATACTTTGGTAAGTTTTCAAATGCATCATAAGACGAATGATATATTTGTCAACATACTTGGTATTGGTTACACGAGAAATTAATGTCTTTCATTTTCAATCAATCTCTCTAAATTCCTCTGTGTGTTGAAAAACTGGTACGTAATTTTTGAAACATAATTACACATGAAATATCAATATATTTGTGAATTTCTATTTGGAATTTTGGTGCACTTTGAACCTTCTTATAGATACTGAAAACGTACTTTTTCATGAGATCCTTGCGATATCACAGTTTCTATGCCATCCACGGGTAGAAGATTGCGAAGATTTCTTGTATTTTCTTGTGTGCACGTTAACACACTGTATCAAAGAATGAGTGGAATTAACGCCCTGTTTTGGGTATTTTTGCTAATCCTCTACCACTCTGTAAATGAAGTGAATGCAAAATATTTTATAAACATTAGCAAGATCTACATATACATGATTATATTCCATATAACATTTGCATACAAGTTATGTCTTGGTGTTATGAATCAAAATTGAAGCAACGATACATCAGTGTCGCTGTTCGGATTTGACATCTACCCGGAGTGGTTTTGGGGGCACTTAATGATACTTTAGGAGTCGGGGCTATCGGTCATCTCATGTCTCTCTCTAAAACTCGAACAAGCGTATGGTATCGTATACAACAATTACAGCGATTTCAATTTGAAGTTAAAAGACTTCTCTTGTAAATATGTGAGGATATTTCATTTGTGCATTTCTGCAAATGACTCACCACCCAAACACGCTCTCAGACCTGATTTAGACCAAAATAATTGTTTTCATAAGTACATACGCAGCTGGACACCACGTGATGAATTGTATTATTAAAAAGGTCAATCGGAGTCAAATCCTGGTTAACATAGTTATTACAATAGACAAGTTTGTTATGAACATGTATTGTAAAGTTTAGTATAAATGCATGTCTGTTGACTCTTCTCCCTTTAATATGACATTATTTTATTCAATATACAACTACAGTTTTCTTGAGAACATCCGACAAACATGCACTGACTATGCATCAAGACGATTAAAATAGCACGACTGATTATTTATTGATTTTCAAGAAATCTCGAGCCTCTTGCCTTAGATTTTGATTTGGTCATCCTTAAATAGAATTTTTTAATTCAAATATGTATTGAAAATACACAGTTGAGATATCGGTGATTTATATTATGGGAAGAAATAATCATATTATGAAACTTCAATTTACATTTCAGGCCTCTATGTGACCTCTAAAATTTAGGCGCCAACTGGCTTCTTATCCAAAATATTTAGTCGCCAATGCTAATTTTTAGTCGCCAGGCAATTTTTTCTTAGGCGCCAATTTAAAAACTGATATTAGTCAATATATAGAGACTTGTCAAATGCTAACTTTTAAACTTCTTTTCTACTCTTTAAAAAAAATTGAAAATGTTTATAGTTCAGTAATTTGACGATCACCAAGTCAATTTAAAATGGTCGCCAATTTGGCGACTTATAGAAAAAATTTAGGCGGCAGTCATAATTTTTAGGCGCCATGGCGACTAGATCATTCGCCAATTAGAGCCCTGCATTTTTTAGGACTCTTAAGTCCATCTATTCTATCCACGGAAAGAACTGCAAATCGCCTACCTCCAACTTATGTTTCAAAAGTTTATATGATATTTATAATAATTTTTTTTCACAATAGAAATCAATGGAAACAGAAAATATTTAAAAAAAAAAAAACTATTATTAATCATTAATGAAGTCAACTTTGGATTTAAAAAAAAAGAAGATTTAATATCAAAATTCCAAACATGTTGAAATATGAGTGCGTAAAATGTAGGTGGGAAACGGAAGTTAGCGTTTGCAGGGCTTTGAGATCATGTTTTCCAACGCGTGAAAATGTACGTCGTCAATTAAGGCTCATTATTTTAGTTGTATTTTAGAGGAACTGGGAATTAATTCTGCAGGTGGAAATCCAACTCGGCCATAGCGCCCTGTCTTAGGAGGAAATTCTTCAAACGCATATGTCCGTTTTAAATATTTTTAATATTCCCAACAATTTGTATTTGTATTACCATACCTTAATTACATAAAAAAACATTACAAACAAAGATAGGTAGCGGCATTAAATGTCCTACCAAACCTTTTTACTTTACTCGTCACTTAAATACTAACAGTAGTAAAGGAGAAAATTCAAGAGAACTGTTCAACAATATATAGGAAAAGTGTTGAGAATCAGATGTGGATATTAAAAAAAAATCCAAGGAACTTTTATAGAAAATTTGAAATCATAAAATTATACCAAAATCAATTAAGTCACTATATTAATATCCAGGCTCTTTGACTTTGTAGACAGCTGCCTTTTCAATAAAAATGGAACTCAAAAATTTACTTACCTTGTCATTGGTCATTTACGGAATTATTTAAAACAAAAATTTAAAATAAACATCCTGATTATACACACAAGTACGTGAACCCTGAAATAGATTTTTGAGAATAGATGCTTGAGTTTCTGATTTATAATATCTATGTAGTTTTTGGAAATCAGGTCTTCCAACAATCTGACGGAATTTCAACGAGTCTAATTGCACCCCGTTATTAGCAGACTTATTTTAATTCATATGAAGCAGAATTTATTCAAAAAACTTATATCTCAGAAAAAGACACTTGCTGTGACCTTCGACTCGACATTTAGATATATCGACGACGTATTATCAATTTACAATACATGTGTAATTACATGTACTTTCATTCATATATATATATATCTGTATATCCTTATGAACTTGATTTAAAAGATACCATAGAGTTTTACATACCTATTTCATATTTAGATATTTTACTAGAAAAAGACGTTAATGGTAACTTTACAACAAAACTTAATGATAAACGTGATGACTTCAACTTTTCTATCGTCAGCTTCTCTTACTTGTGTAGCAATATGCCCTTATCGCCTGCATATGGGGTTAATATCTCCTAGTTGATTCGATACGCAAGAGCAAGATCTAGGTACCAACAATTTTTTAAACGAGGCAAGCTATTGACAAACAAGTTAATGAAATAAGGATATCAACAGCCTCGTATGAAGTCATCACTTTGCAAGTTCTATGGTTGATACAATGACCTTGTCAGCACATACAATCTTTCATAAAGTCGAATACTGACCGACGTTTTTCAAACTTATTGTTAGGACATTTGTTAAACACTGAATTGTCCACAAATTTTTCCGTTTGCTCGATCATGACAATGAGCACACGGCGGGTGTGACCAGACGACAGAGGATGCTTACTCCTCCATGGCACCTGATCCCACCTCTGATTCTTTTTAGAGTTCCATGTTTGCTCTGCTCCAAATTTGTATTGTTTCAAAGGACTTTTGAGATTGATTACTGTTCGTTATCTTCATGAAATATATGGAGATAACGAACAGTATTCAAGCTCAAAAGTCTGTCAAACAATACAAAATAGGAGCAGAGCATTATTTCATTAAAGAATTTGAGACATATTTGATATACTGTTAATCAAAATGGAAAAGTATACCAGTTTTCATACAAATGTGCCAGAAACTTAGTCAAACAAGAATGTTAGATACATGATGATAATTATTCTTGGTTTTGGAGAATATAACAATAAAATTGTTTCTGTGAGAATGATACCATCTAAAGCATGAGTAAATTGAGTAAATTCACAGATATTTTATAAATACACTGAGTAATGATGATATTGAAAAATATATTTAACTAGTGATTCCTATATTTTACTTTTGGTATTATTGTTCATTTCAGTATCAACATCATGTCCGGTAAGATATCTTTATGAATTTCATTACCAAAACACATTATTTTTTTACTTATGTGATAAACTTTTATGTGCAGGGTCGATATTCTGGTTGCATAATAATTCAGATAAAAAAAACAGATAATATTTTTTTTATGTGGCTTACTTTCTAATGCCAAAATAATATAACTTGAGGGTTAAATATATTTCAATGGTTATTAATCCTTATTTTCAAACGATGCTTACAGCTGTGAAAATATTGCTGAACAAAGGTAAATGACATAGTTACGTGTAGATATGAACATATACAAAATATGAAATAGCCATATCTAAGTATATCAATTAGATTTATATATTATAGATTCTACCTTGTCATAACGAGCACCCTGACACCTTCTGTGAAGATGGTCAATGCGTACTGAGACCTGGAGGTAAACCTGAGTTTGGTTTTATTCATCGTGCTAGATATACATAAAAATTAATTAATTTGAATATTCATTCAAATTTGTAAAGATATTCTTAACTTTCAAAACAGCATCATGTCGCTTCCAACAGTACCCTTGTTCATCTGGACATGAGTGTAGGAATGGAATTTGTCAACGAAGTAGGTATATCAACCAAATAAGATGTAGTTATTAAAGATCCCTGTTAAGGACATTCACTGCTAAAAAATTGCTGTATTGGCTTAGAAAGTAATATCTCTATTTTTTCCAGTAATTTATTCATTCTTGACTTTACTTGATCTTACAGTAATTCATTCATTCTTGACGTTTCTCGATCTAATATATATATATATATATATATATATATATATATATATATATATATATATATATATATATATATATATATATATATATATATATATATATATATATATATATATATATATATATTTACAAGAGTTCAACGAGTCCGTTTGCTTTCTATATAATATTTCTTCACCTTCGGCAGCTATGTTAGTTTTAGAGTCATTGTAACTTAGATATGTTTTCAATAATAATAATTTCATTGCAAGTTGTATTTTTAACGATCATCTAATAAGATTAATGTCCAAATAGCTGTATCTCACTTCCATTCTCAATGACCGTGTAGTGTAAAATTCCATCGACGTCGAAATCAAGTTTTTTTTGTAACTTACCTACTCGGTCAAGCGCTCTAGCAACAGGGGATGCTTACTCCTCCATGGCACCTGATCCCACCTCTCATTCTTTTTAAAGCTCCGTATTTCCTGTGCTCCAAATTTGTATTCTTTCGATAGACTTTTAAGATTGATTATACTGTTCGTTATCTTCATATTTCATTAAAGAATTTGAGACATATTTGATATACTGTTATTCAATGTGGAAAAGTATACCAGTTCATAATTTATGATCTTTGGGGGTAGGGTGGGGCCACAATAAGTATTACAATGGGGAATATCTGGTGAAGAACAGCAGGGCCAAAGTTACTCAGGTAAGTGTTGTGGCTCATGGGCCTCTTGTTTATGTATGATCTATGGTGTAAGGATTTTAAAGATAGAGAAAAATAAAAATTGACAAATATCATTACAAAAAAATAAATTTAAAAAAAGCATTTTTGTTTTTAAAAAATGATGTTGATAATTAAAAGTTTATATTTTTATTTCATTTCAGACATCGATCAACCTTGTCCGGTATGATATCACATAAATTCATCCATAAGAAACAAAATATCTCTAAATTTATAATCTTTTACCTATATTCATCATTTCATTTTTTTTACTTCGTTGTATGGCCCCTGTATCACAGAAAAAAGATGTTAATTAGAATATCTTATACAAACCTAGGCCTCTTGTTAAAAAATAATACCTCTTGAAAGAGTGTTTAGAGAAGTTGATGGAATTATTTTTTTCATAGATTAAGTTATTGAACATAAAGGGTATCAATTCCTCAACCGTAGCTTAGTGCCATATGTGTTTTGGTGTTAAACGTTTCATTATCGTAACGTTTCGAATGGAAATTGATAAAACATCCTATAATTTTTTTAAAAATGTATGTAAATTTCGACTTATCCAAAAAAAAAAAAAAAAAAAAAAAAAAAAAAAAAAAGATAAATTCATGTAAATTTGATTATTGTCTGTATCTCAAAGTAAAAAAGACAGGGATACAAGTGAAAATTCGATATCTACAACTTAAAGGTTTGCATCAAGGAAAAAATAATCTTTAATCTGTCCAAACTTGAGGCATCAAACAACAAAATTATATATAAGCGTGGTCAATCGGACGAAAGACCTCTCATTGCTAGCAATGAATTTCTAGTTGCATATCTCATTCAGTTCAGCATAATTTTACTTGCTTCAGATCGCTTAAAATATTTCAATTTACTGCAGATCGAATCTAGTCTCAGAAATAAAATAAGAGGCCGATGGGCCATATTGCTCACCTGAAAACATTGGCTAGGCACAAGCACAAATCAGTTCAGTATTGAAAAGATTCCGGGGGGGGGGGGTGAATTTTAAACTACCTTTGATGTCAATTTTACAAATGGCTTTGTTGTACTTGTAAAGGTTTTTAAAAAAAAATTCCCATATATTCCTTTGTAAAAATTTTATCCCCCATTATGGCTCCTCCCTATCCCAAGGGTCATCATTTGAACAAACTTGAATCTACACTATCTGAGGATGCTTCCATATCAATATGACTAAACATAGTTTTTCTGTTCTTGAGAAGAAATATTTTCTATATGTTCTTATGTAAAACTTTCGATCCCCCATTGGGCCCCACCCTATCCCCACAAAGACGGATCCAGGGCTAGCGCGCCGGGCGTGCACCCCCCATTTGAATTTTTTTAAATGTAGAACTTTTATGTCCATTATCCTAAAATCAAGGAAAAACATCTCTTCTCTGTAAGAATTTGTCAGCTTCCCAGACCCCCACCAAGGCCTTGCTCCAGACCCACTGGGGGCTTCATTGCACTCTACTCCCCCCCCCCCCCTTACGAAATTCCTGGATCCGCCATTACCCCAGGGATCATCATTTAAACAAAATTGAATTTACACTACCTGAGGATGCTTCCATATCAAAATGACTAAACATGATTTTCAATTCTTGAGAAGAAGGTATTTTCCTATATATTCTTATGTAAAATTTTCAATCCCCCATTGGGTCCCACCCTACCCCCGGGGGTCATCATTTGAACAAAATTGAATTTACACTACGTGAGGATGCTTCCATATCAAAATAACTTATCATGGCTTTGCAGTTCTTCAGAAGAAGATATTTTCCTATATTTCTATTTAAGATTTTGATCCTCCATTGTGGCCCCGCCCTACCCCCGGGGGTCATGATTTGAACAAAATAGAATCTACACTACCTGAGGATGCTTCCACATAAATATGACCAATAAGGGCTTTGCTGTTCCTGAGAAGAAGATTTTTTTTAAAGATTTTTCCTATATATTTCGATGTAAAAGTTTGATAGTCCATTGTGGCCCTACCCTACCCCCGGGGGTCATGATTTGTACAAATTTGAATTCAAACTTCCTGAGAATGCTTCCATATAAATATGACTCATCATGGCTTTGCTGTTCTTGAGAAGAAGATTTTTAAAGATTTTTCTATATATAGCTATCTAAAACTTTGATCTTCCATTGTGGCCCCCCTACCCCAGAGGGTCATGATTTGAACAAACTTGAATCTGCACTACCTGAGGATGCTTCCGTATAAATATGACTCATCATGGCTTTGCTGTTCTTGAGAAGAAGATTTTTAAAGGCTTTTCCTATATATTTCCATGTAAAACTTTGATCCTCCATTGTGGCTCCGCCTTACCCCCGGGGTCATGATTTGAACAAAATAGAATCTACACTACCTGAGGATGCTTCCACATTAGTTTCATCTTTCCTGGCCCAGTGGTTTTTGAAAAGAAGATTTTTAAAAGATGCTATTAATTTTTCACCAATTCTCTATTATCTCCCCTTGAAAGAGGGCATGGCCCTTCATTTGAACTAACTTGAATCCCCTTCACCCATGGATGCTTTGTAGCAAGTTTGGTTGAAATTGGTCCAGTGGTTCTGGAGAAGAAGATGAAATTGTGAAAAGTTTACAACGACGACGACGACTACGCCAACGACAGACAACGGACAAATTTTGATTAGAAAAGCTCACTTGAGCCTTTTGCTCAGGTGAGCTAAAAAAAAATACTATTAAAAAATTCTTACAAAATGACATGCATATCTGATAAGAGTAAGCACCTTTCTAAACAGTAAATGTATAGTTTATACCAGTATTACTGTTGTCATCAAATAGATATGTTATCAAAAAAGAGTATAATACTAATTTAAACAGTGGCAGAATCCAAATTATCATTTGTATATATATATATATATATATATATATATATATATATATATATATATATATATATATATATATATATATATATATATATATATATATATATATATATATATATATATCTGATCGAAATATAAAATTCTCATTGTCTTGAAGTAATTCTTTAAACTCATTTTAAGAATTCGAACGCCATGGCGTTGATATATAGTTACATGTAGAGATTTACAGTGCAGAATACGAAATAACCATGTCGTAGTCCATTGTTATCTATTTTTAAATTATAGCTTTGTGTGGGTCGTAATTTCACCTGTGAAGATGGTCGGTGTGTCCTGAGACCTGGAGGTAAATATGATTTTGTTTACATTTATCTAGCTAGATGGACTGGGAAATTGTTCATTTAAATATTCATTCGAATTTGTAAAGATGCTCTTTATTTTCGAAATAGCGAGGTGCCCCCACCCATTTTACTCCTGTTCATCTGGGCATGATTGCAGAAGAGGACGTTGTAGAAGTAGGTATATTACACATGTATAACCGAATAAGATGTAGTTATTTAAGATCCTTATTTAGAAAAGCATCTGCTAGAATCTAGGAAAATGAAAAAAAAAAAAAAAAAAAAAAAAAGGTTATATTAGAAATTTATTTATTCGTTTTCTTATTATGTATATAATCAATTTCTTTATGAGCATTGCAGTTTTCAGGAGTTCAGCAATGCAAGTATCAAATGTCATGGCAAAAAAAAAAAAAATAAAAGCAAGTATTGGTAAAAGTTTAGTTACATAATTTTTTCATTACGAACACATAAAAATTGTTTTCCATAATTTTCTAATGACCTTTTCACTAAATGAACGTGCATGCATACCATTTTGTCTCCGCAATTTATATATCTTTATTTTCTAAATATCAAATTGACTATACCAAATGTATTGGTCGTTTGATGCATTACATGCGCGCAAGTGCATGCATGCACATGAAAACTGTGTCATCTTGTCTACACTATTAATATATCTTTATATTCTCAGTATCTAAGGATTACATTTAAAAAATATAAAAGTCATAGTATGAAGTATCACAGTATATTAGTCATTCAATGCAACAAACGCGCGCTCACGTGCATGAATAAGTGCTGTCGAAACTATTAACATATCTTTATATTCTAAGTATAAAAAATCAGGAAAAAATATAAAAGTTAAGGCTGTATCAAGTTTGTTGGTCATTTTATGCATTGTCCGCGCATGTGCATGATTATTATGCCATCTTGTCTACACTATTAATATATCTTTACACTGTATGTTCTGAGTATCCAAGCATTTCATAATAAAAGTTAAACTAATGATTCTATCACGAACATAGGTCATATTGGTCATTTTACTCATTGAATGCGCGCGCACATGCATACACGTTGACCATGCCATCTCGTCTACACTTATAATTTGTCTATACATTCTGAGTATCAAAGCATTTCATTGAACATTACAAAAGTGAAGGCTATATCAAGAATATTGATCATTACATATTGCACGCGCTCGCACATGTTCCCCAACTTCGTTATGGGAACATAACTATTGATTCCTAAATTTTACTTTTGATATTTTTGTTCATTTCAGTATCAACATCATGTCCGGTAAGATATTCTTATGAATTTCTTTCATACAAAAGAAAAGTAAATTTTTACTTACGTTATTAACTTTTATGGACAGGATCTCTGTTCTGGTTGCATAATAATTCAGATAAAAACAAATAATATATATATATATTTTAAATACAGCACCTTATGTGCTTTTCTCAAAAATAAAAAAAAATATTCTTTTGTAAAAAATAATTTCTTGGAATAATGGCATACATATTTCACTGCAATAAGCACCTTTCTAAATAAAATGCTTCAAAGGATATGCCAGTATTATTATTGTCACCAAGTTGATGTGTTATCAAGAAACAGTGTTATACTAATTTAAACCGTGGCAAAGTCCAGTTTACCATTAGTATACATATTTATATCTGATCGAAATGAAAACATTCTTAATGTCTTGAAACCGTTGTTTAAACTCATTTAAATTTTCTAGAATTTTATTCACGCCCTGGCAAATAATTACAGGTAGAGATTGACGGTACAGAAGACAAAATAACTATTCTTAGTCTATATGATCTATTTTTGAATTGAAGCGCTGTGTCGGCATTGATGTCATCTGTGAAGAAGGCCAGTGCGTCGTGAAACCTGGAGGTATAAATGAATTTGTTTTCATTCATCTTTTAACTATTCATACAAATTAATTTAATTGAACATTCATTCAAATTTGTAAAGATTCTCTTTACTTTAAAACAGGATATTGTGCCCTACAACTGTTACCCTGTTCATCTGGCTATGAATGTAGAAATGGAAGATGTACACGTAAGTATATTTACTGAATGAGATGTAGCTATTAAAGATCCTTTATTGAGATTCGCTCTGCTTGAATCTGATTACTATTCATAAGGCTTACGAATTAATATACAATTTATCTGTATCCTTTATTTTTTATGCCTACGATTTAAGATGTTAGAGTTTTTAAGGTAGAGAAAAATAAAAATTGACAAATGTCATTACAAAAAAAAAATTGTTGTTGATTTTTAAAAGTTGGTATTTTTTCATTTCAGTCATCGATCCAATTTGTCTGCAGGTATGATATTTTAGGGATTCATTTCTAAGAAACAAAGTATTTAAAAATTTTTAATCTTTTAACTATTCATCATTTTATTTTGTTATTCGTTGTTTGGTCCCTGTATTGACTCAGTATTACTCAGTATCACAGAAAAAAGATAATTAGAATATCTAATACAAACATGGGCCTCTTGTTACAAAATAATATATAATAAATAAATAAATAAATCTTTTGAAAGATTGCTTAGTGAATTTGATGGAATTATTTTTCATAGATTAAGTTATTGAACATAAAGTGCATCAATTCCTCAGCCGTAGCTTGGTGCAATATGTGCTTTGGTGTGAAACGTTTCATTACCGTATCGTTTTGAATGGAATTTGATATAACATCCTCACTATTTAAAAAAGATAAATAAATAAATAAGAAAATTAAAAATAAGAAAAAAAAAAATAAATTTATGTAAAGATGATTATTGTCTGTATCTCAAAGAAGAAAAGACAGGACTTCAAGTGAAAATGCGATAACTACAACGTAAAGGTTTGCACTATGGAAAAATTAATCTTTAATCTGTCCGAACTTAAGGCATCAGGCAACAAAATGATATATAAGGGTGGTCAATCGGATGGAAGGCCTCTCGCAATAAGTTTCTAGTTGCATTTCACATTATGTTCAGCATAATTTTACTTGCATCAGATAGCTTATAATATTTCATTTTACTGCAGATCGAATCTAGTCTCAGAAATAAAATTAAATTCTTCTTTAAAATATCCTTACAAAAATGACATGCATATCTGATTACAGTAAGCACCATTCTAAACAAAATGCTGCAAAGCTTAAAACAGTATTACTGTTGTCGCCAAATGGATGTGTTATCAAAAAGAATATAATACAAATTTAAACAGAGGCAAAATCCAATTTATCATTAGTATATATACATTGATATCTGATCGAAATATCAACATTCTCATTGTCTTCAATTGTTTAAACTAATCTTAAGAATTCGAGAATTTTATTCACGCCCCGGCGTTGATAAATAGTTACATGTAGAGATTTACAGTGCAGAATACGAAATAACCATGTTGTAGACTATTGCTATCTTTTTTTTTAATTATAGCCTTGTTTCGGCCCGGATATCATCTGTGAAGATGGTCGGTGTGTCCTGAGACCTGGAGGTAAATATGATTTTGTTTACATTTATCTAGCTAGATGGACTGGGAAATTGTTTATCTAAATATCCATTCAAATTTGTAAAGATGCTCTTTATTCTCGAAATAGCGAGGTGCCCCAACTCATTTTACTCCTGTTCATCTGGGCATGAATGCAGGAGAGGACGCTGTACAAGAAGTAGGTATATAACATATGTTTAACCGAATAAGATGTAAATATTTAAGATTTTTATTGAGGAAAGTATCTGCTTGAATCTAAGAAAATGTAAAATAGGTTATATTGGGAATTAATTTATTCATTTTCTTATTTATTTATATAATCATTTCTTTATGAGCATTGTAGTTTTCAAGATTTAATAAACAAGTAACAAATATCATGGCAAGAATGAAATGCAATTTTGATAAGAATATAATAATTTTATTTTTCTTCATGAAAACGTAAAAAAATAGTTTTTCATAATTTTTTTAAAGGTTCAAGTGAGTGCAGATTTGTGAGTAGAAATGTATAAAATTATTCTTTCAATTCATGATATTAGCTTTAATTCTTTTTAATCAATGAAGTCTGTTATCTTAATGTCAATATTCTCTTTTCTTTTATGTATAATAGAATAAGTACTAGCATTTATCCGAAATAAGAGAAAACAAATAATGTTATGTATTTATTGTACGATCGTGAAGGAAACATGAAAATGTATTATTTACTACTGTAAATTCTGTGACGTCTGCTAGCGCTGCTTTCGAAAGTTTTCGTTCAACGAACGATAAGTATTGCGGCAAGATGCTCGTTGTCTCTGAAGTGGTTAAACTTGATGAATGGCAAGACGATGACAGGGTATTGAAATATGGAGATAACGAACAGCATTCAATTCAAAAGTCCATTGAAACAATACAAATCGGAAGCAGATCGAACACGGACCTCTTAAAGTATCAGAGGAGGTATCAGGTGCCATGGAGGAGTAGGCATATCCTCACGTACTGGTTACATCTTGATTTCATGATAATTTACGAAACAAATAAAATTATAGTTTTAACTCTGGCGCAAAAACGTAAGTAAAAAATAAAACTCACTCACGTTTAAACATTATTAGATGGTTTAATTAGTGATACTTTCATTAAAAAGAGTATATAGTATATTATTATTATTCTGACCTTCTAATTTTGTGCACGCGATTTCTCAAAGACTCCTTAATGGATTTGAATGAAATTTGCAGGAAGAGTGTGTTGTAGTCTGAAGTTATTTTGTTAGGGAGGAAATTGGAAAAATCATTCCCGGTTCCATGTTATGGACCATTTTCTGATATCAAAATGAAATTTTGTCCACGGATAATCTCAAAAACGGCTAAAGATTTCAAAGACAAACTTTCAGGAATAATAGATCGTAATATATACTAAATTTGTCGCAATTTTTGTTCTTCGTCGGCACATTCGGTCGCTCACGAAAGTGATTTTCAAAATTAGATTTTTAAAAACTTTTTCTTTTTCTACAATATTATTAGGGATAATAGATGGTGTTTTCAGAATGCTAAATATATAATTGTGTTTTAAAATGACATAAAACATATTCTAAATATTCGCCATTGTTACTTTGAAGCAGTGGTTCTGATGACCTAATGATTAACGTTGTGGATTTCTATGCAGGCAACCTAGGTTCGATCCATCGATTGCCCGAAACTTTTTCTCACGTTTTTAGCTTAGACGAACATTTTTATCTTGAAAATGATATGTGGTGGGACCGCGGAATATTTATTGGCCATTTTTGAAACTTAGAACATACATTTACAATTGTTGCAGTCAAAGCATTTGAAAACATTGAAAAATGGCGGATACAATTTGTCACGGACGTCTGCGAGAACACTGGATTGAAATTCCAGTAAGAACTACAATTTCAGTCTGATATTTTTTTCAGACGTCCGAGTCGAAAGAACTCTAATTTCAATTCTATGTTTTCACAGACGTCCGCATCAAATTTATTTCGAACGTCTTAGAAAACATAGGAATTAAATTCAAGTTCTAACCAGAATTTCAATCTAATGTTTTCTCAGACTTCACCAGAGTACACCCGATAGACCGGACGCAATTCATAGCGCTCCGGATTTCTTTGTTCACAACTGTTTATTAATTTCAAATTAAACATGTAACACTGTAAATATTTAGTGTTTGGTAGTTCAGTAGTAGTGCTAGTTGTTTTGTTTCTCTATTTCCTTTGTTTTTATTACTTCTTAACTCTTTTCTTTGTCCTGAGGAAGGGACAGGTCGTCCAGTAAATTTGACAATTATTATTGTTCGTGTCGTTGGTCATTTTTAGTGCTTTATATAAATTTCCATCCGTGACCTTGTATCTACTTAGTAGATCCGACACTTAAGATATACAGTGTTGTTGGTTTTTAGTGCTTATATATATATATATATATATATATATATATATATATATATATATATATATATATATATATATATATATATATATATATATATATATATATATATATATTGAAACTTTAAACTGAAACTTTAAACTTTTTTACATTTTATGTACTTCGGGACGGAGGAGTTACTTGGAATTCAAAATGAATTTCTTTATGATTCTTTAGATTGTCTATATTTCAATTATATTATATACAAATGTACCTCTACTTGCATACAAGAGATAACTTCTCAAAAACGAAGGAAGGTCTTGTCACATGGATTACATATGTGGAGTATGAAAGCGTCAAACGTCTAGGTCAAGATCAAAGGGTCAAAGTGGTTGGTATCCGAAGGAAGGACTTGTCACAAGAAATACACATGTGAAGTTTGAAATCCCAAGCTCCAACTAATCAAAAGTTATGGGCAAGGTTAAAGTCTCATAAAATTTTGAAAAAGTGTGTCAAACTCCAAGGTCAAGTTCAAATATGATGGCACCCAAAGAAAAGTCTTGTCATACGGAATACACATGTGAAATATGAAAGTCATAGCTCAAACCAATCAAAAGTTATGGGCAAGGTAAAAGTTTTTGCGGACAAACAAACAGACAGACAGACGGACGGGCAGGGCAAAAACTATATACCCCCGAATCTTCGATACGGGGCATAAAAATTAAAAATAATAGATGGTTTAATTAGTGATACTTTCATTAAAAAGAGTATCTAGTATATTATTATTATTCTAACCTTCTAATTTTGTGCACGCGATTTCTCAAAGATTCCTTGATGGATTTGAATGAAATTTGCAGGAAGAGTGTGTTGTAGTCTGAAGTTATTTTGTTAGGGAGGAAACTGGAAAAATCATTCCCGGTTCCATGTTATGGACCATTTTCTGATATCAAAATGAAATTTTGTCCACGGATATTCTCAAAAACGGCTAAAGATTTCAAATTCTTAAAATTAGCTTAAAAAGAATTCCTTACAGAAATGGCATGCATATCCGATAACAGTAAGCACCATTCTAAACAGAATGCTGTATAGTTGTTACCAGTATTACTGTTGTCACCAAACAAATGTGCTATCAAAGGAGTATTACAATAAATTAACAGTGATAAAATCCAATTTATCATTAGTATATACATTGATATTTGATCTTAATGTCAAAATTCTCATTGTCTTGAAGTAATTGTGTAAACTAATTTTAAGAATTCGAGAATTTTATTCACGCCCTGGCGTTGATAAATAGTTACATGTAGAGATTTACGGTGCAGAATACGAAATAACCATGTCGTAGACTATTGCTATCTTCTTTTTTTAATTATAGCCTTGTTTCGGCCCGGATATCATCTGTGAAGATGGTCGGTGTGTCCTGAGACCTGGAGGTATATATGATTTTGTTTACATTTATCTAGCTAGATGGACTGGGAAATTGTTTATCTAAATATTCATTCGAATTTGTAAAGATGCTCTTTATTTTCGAAATAGCGAGGTGTCCCAACTCATTTTACTCCTGTTCATCTGAGCATGAATGCAGGAGAGGACGCTGTACAAGAAGTAGGTATATAACATATGTTTAACCGAATAAGATGTAATTATTTAAGATTTTTATTGAGGAAAGTATCTGCTTGAATCTAATAAAATGTAAAATAGGTTATATTGGGAATTTATTTATTCATTTTCTTATTTATTTATATAAGCATTTCTTTATGAGCCTTGCAGTTTTCAAGATTTAATAAAACAAGTAACAAATGTCATGGCAAGAAAGAAAGCAATTTTGATAAGAATATAATTATTCTATTTTCCCCCATGAAAACGTAAAAAATTGTTTTTCATCATTTTCTTTAATACAGGTTCAACAGAATGCAGATTTGTGAGTAAAATGCATCAAATAATCCTTTCAATTCATGAAATAAGCTTATTTTATTTAATCAAAGAAGTCTGTAAACAATGTCAATATTTTCTTTTCTTTTATGTATAATAGAATAAGTACTAGCATTTATCCAAAAAAAAAAAAAAGAGAAAAGAAATAATGTTATTCATTTATTGCATGATCGTCAAGGAAATATGAAAATGTATTATTTACTACTGAAAATTCTGTAACGTCCGCTAGCGCTGCTTTTGAAAGTTTTCGTTCAACTAACGATAAGTATTGCGGCAAGATGCTCGTTGTCTCTGAAGGGGTTAAATATGATAAATGTCAAGACGATGACAGAGGAATTAGATATGGAGATAACGAACAGTATTCAATTCAAAAGTCCATTGAATGAAAAGCGCTTGAAGTTCCTTTTTTAAAAAATAATATCTTTTGAAAGATTGTTCAGTGAAGCTGATGGAATAATTTTTTTTATTGACGCAAGTTATTAAACATAAAGTACAGTAATTCTTTAACCGTAGCTTAGTGCCGTATCGTTTTCATTACCGTATCGTTTTGAATGGAATTTGATTAAAAAAAAAACAAAAAAACAAAAACATCCTAACTTGTTAAAAAATTATCTAGATTTCAGCTAATAATAATAATAATAATAATAATAATAAAATACAAGATGTGTTTGTGAAACACTGATGCCCCCGTATGGCAGCTTATGGCGAAGGTTAATGTTTCTCAAATGCAAGTCAAAATCCAGATCAAGAGATCAAAAATGTTGGATCCAAAGAAGGTCTTGTCTCGAGGAATATACCTGTAAAAGTGAGTAAAAGCTCAAAGCCAAAATGGGGCCCCAAGGGAAGGTCTTGTCAAAAGTGATACGCATGTTCGTGAAATGTGAAACTCTAGAACCAAACGTTCACATATTTTGGCCAAGGATAAAGTTTTGTAAAGGAAGGTAAAACTCTAAGGTCAAGGTCAATGCCAAAATTGTTGGTATCCAAAGGAAAGTCTTGTGCCAAGGAATGCACATATGAAGTATGAAAGCCGTAGCAACAAATGTTTAAAATGTATGGCAAAAATTGAAGATTTTCAAAAGTAGGTCAAACTCCAAGGTCAAAGTCAAAGGGTCAAAGTTGTTGGTGTCCAAAGAAAATTTTTGTCACAAGGACTACATATGTGAAGAATGAAAGCCCAAGCACAAACCATTCAAAAGTTACGACCAAGGTTAAAGTTTTCCGAAAGTAGGTCAAACTCCTAAGTCAAGGTCAAAGGTCAAAGTAATTGGTATCCGAATATGATAAATGTCAAGACGATGACAGAGGAATTAGATATGGAGATAACGAACAGTATTCAATTCAAAAGTCCATTGAAACAATACAAATCGGAAGCAGATCAAACACGGACCTATTAAAGTATCAGAGGAGGTATCAGGTGCCATGGAGGAGTAGGCATATCCTCACGTACTGGTTACATCTTGATTTCATGATAATTTACGAAACAAATAAAATTATAGTTTTAACTCTGGCGCAAAACGTAAGTAAAAAATAAAACTCACTCACGTTTAAACATTATTAGATGGTTTAATTAGTTATACTTTTATGAAAAGGAGACATTTCTTTATTTATATTTCATATCTTTATATCTTATCTGCTGTACTTCGTAAATAAATTAATGGAGAAAACAAATAATCGCTAAATGTCTGGTTGTTTTACTTTAATAGGTTGATGATTGTTCACCAGGATATTACTGTTTGTATGGAAAGTGTGTACCATGTAAGTAATGATATATGGTTGCCTCCGTCACTGCAGTAAAAGGACTGTTGATAATCGTTTTCTTTTCTGCAATTTCAACATGCTATATTTACATTCAAGATTTTTTCCTTTATTTAAAATGAAAACCGCTTCATAAATCAATCAGTAATTGTATTAAGGACGGTTACAACAGGTATCTCAAGCCGCCTGAATAAATTCCTTATACAGTGTGTAGGCCTTTCAACTAATTTTTTTCAGGTCTCACCTACCGTTAAGATTACTTGAAAGATATATTTATAGGTACAGGAAATTCTCAAGAAGAGTAAAATCGATAGGTATAATCGATTAAATTTTAATTAATTGATTTGTCCGCTGTTTTGTATAAAGAAATGTAATTTACTTGAGAAAACGATCAACAAATTGCATATGTATCAGTTATTGGTCATACAAATGGCATATAGGCTGTTTTAATTCTGGTATTGTGGTGTACATGCACAAAAAGGTTTCTTGTATTTTTGTGCACACAAAAAGGTCGATCAAAACATGAAAGTTGCCTTCATTCTACCTGGAATTAATCTAGCACCATTACTTTAAAAAGACGAAATAATATTTTTATTTCAAACAGCTATTTTCAGGCGTTTATAAGGTGGCCTGATCGCACTCAACTTACCCGCGCTCCTTATCATTACCCTTAGAATGTACAACTATACTGTGGCTGCTTCCTCTTCACGTTTCTTTCTTTCTTTCTTTAAATTTTTTTTATATTGTACAATGCATCAATACATTCAAATACATACAGAGTTCAAAGATTTAAGTTCACAATTTTCACAGTTTTGATAATAATTTAATACAATGGTTTTACAAGGAAAAATTTCGATAATTAATAATTCCACATAGTATATAAACCTTATACATAATGATAAATAATGAACATAATGAAAAATGACGCGCAGTGATGGATGCTGTAAAATGATATATAAACGAAAGAAAAAAAAACTAATAGTAAGAATACCAAAATTGAAAAGCAATGCATTTGACAATTTAAAAAAAATTTACAGGCTGACATCATTTCTATATAATCAAATCTTTAATTTCTATTAAATATGTAATTACTCATATGTATATGCCTGACCCTTGTTGCAGAGGGAATTTGTGGAGAAATAGAGTCCATCATGTCCCATTGAGACCTGTATTGAGGGCCAGGACACCCTCCAATATTGGCACTTTGTATTAACAAAATGATGTAAAGAGTATCTCCAAAAAGAGAAAGTAAAAAAAAAAATACAATATACATTTTCTGAATATTTTGGTTTTTTTCACATACAGTTCTTATTGAATTCAGGTTTGTTTTTTATTGTTTTTTTTAAAATACAGTCCAGCAGTTATTTCTAAATTACCTTAAACGTTCATGTTTTTTAGTTATTTAATTGTAGTACTTTTCTGGGTATGGTTATGATCCTACTGGAATTATAATCTTTTCCAGAACTTAAATGACCAACATAAGTAGACATTTTAAGAACTTATTTAAGGGGACCTACACACAGTTACATAGTATGTTTTTTTTTTTTTTTTTTTTTTTTTTTTTTTTTTTTTAATGTCTTTGGTTATTCAAAATAAATAAATAAATAAATAAATAAATAAATAAATAAATAAAATAAAACCAGTTAAATAAATTGAACTAGCATGAAAATTCTTAAAATTCAATGACAATGACATTCTTTTTTACATCACGTCAAACATCTGTTTTTGAAAACAGGGCACGAGCCCTGTTATTGTTAAAGTTAACATTTTACCGACTGTGTTCAATTTATTAAACTCTGCACAAATCACTGAGCACGGGCTGACAACACTTGTGTGCTGGCTTTGCTTTCTCACATTTCGACTCTGATTTTTCTGGATTATAGTTTTAATAATTTTTATTAATACTCAACAAAATTTCTACTTTTTTAAATTATAAAGGGTAACGTTAACTTCGTGAAGAGCAATGATTTTTGTCAATCAAACGCGTCTCGAAATTCGTAGTTTTAATGTTTTCTTGATAAAAGCAGTTTCTGAACACACTTTTATTATATTTCCGTGTGAAGTGCGTTAGCATTTGCCTTAGCAATGTAAAAGTCATGATAAAATACAGAAAATTTAAGAAAATATTAACTTTAAATCTGTGTCCAAGTTCCTTTAATACCAGTGGGGTAGGCATATTTCAACTATGCAATCACTAATGACTTTTCTCGTTATTTTCTGCAATATTTTAATAATGATATCATGTCTTGTATGAACAATATTAATACCAAAATTTCAATAAGAGTTTGACATACATAATATCCATCAAAATTCGAAGGAATAGTTTGTTTAGACATTTGTTACACAGCAATACTATAAGCTGTGGTTTTTAATGTCATGTATTTGTTTTCCTTTCATTAAAATCCACATACAAAAGCTATAGTGTATAAACGGCTTTGGCATATTAGGAAAAATTAATGCATGAAATATTTATCAAAATGTTGAATTGAATTACTAGTACATGATGATGAGAGGCCTGTTCAATGTAGAATAAAATGTAACCAGTTTAGAAATAACTATTTCTTTTAATTTCACTGAACACCGTTGAAAAAAAAACTAATATTTTAAGTGAAGATGATGATATGCTTCTTATTGAAAACCATTTCGGAAAAAAATCTGACTCACTTATAGACCCTAACCACTTTCTTCCTTTCCTCAAGGAATGTTTGTATCGTTTTCAATGCTACATAAATAGCAACTGAGTTGACACACAGCTAGGAAATGTCTGTAATTGTAAGACTAAAAAGATGAATGTACAATTTTCTGCATCATGGTCTACGATTTCTGTGCATACGAGATTAGACTGCATTGAATTTAGGAATCACGTACTTGCATCAGGCATAATTTCAATTTAAGAAAGAGAAAAGTACTACACAATATATGTCTTGTCTTTGAATTGTACAACTAATGTCCAGAGACTTAATGATAAACAAAGGTGTAATGTCTCAACATGCGAGAAAAATGTTGGCACCAACAAAAACTTAATAATATGTAAGGCATATAAATATTTACAGCATTATTTTAAAAGAAAAGAGAAAGTGAAATACACTTCTGTATCTAAATTACCCCAAGCTTTTCCTTTTTTTAAGATGAACCAACCAGACCTACTCAGTTTCCACCCATACCCTCTGAAACCGGATGTCAAAATGTAAGACTGTTTGTACGAAATTTTTTTATTGATTGCGTAAGTTTTAGATGTTACCTACTATTTTTTTTTATCTTGTAGAATGGTGACTGTCCACGTGGACAAGAGTGTTTAAGAATCGGATCGCAAAGGCAATGCGTGTTCGGTTAGTAAATTTGACAAAGAGTCACAAATAATTTATTCAATACTCAATCCAATCAATTGTTCCATATATTGAATGTTGAAGTGTAAATTGTGGATTTTTGAACAACAATTCAACAATTGTGGATTTTTGATCAACAAATCAACAATTAGATTTCCTGGAAAGCTATGGCATTTTGTTCATAATTCCTTATCAATTTTGCATTCATTCTAGTGATTTCATAAGGAAACCACGAGATTACACTTCCTGAGTTTTATGGAATCGATCACAGTTTAGCGTATATGATAGCTAGTTTCCCCATGAAAGACGAAAGCTAAATTTGGAACAAAATATGGATTTGCAAATGTTGTCACTATGAGTAGAAATAAATACATTATCAGCCAAGTTTATTTCTTTCATTAATCTACCAAAAGATTAGGACGTCTGATGCATGTTTACATTTGCCACGATTGTATATATATATATATATATATATATATATATATATATATATATATATATATATATATATGATAGCATGCTTTTGCAATCAAACATGTCGGAAAATACCTGCTCATCTTCATAAATCTCAATCATGAAAAGAATCGTACGCTTATCAGGACTAATTGTTTTTGTCTGTTTCTGGTAAAAATAAAAGTAAACTGAAAGATAAGATTTGTGTTTATTACAAGAAGCATTCGGCAAGCTGAACTTCAATCTACATGTAAAATTACTACAATACATGTATATCAATGTTCTCGAGTATATGAAGAAACCCTAAAAAAAAAAAAAAAAAAAAAAAAAAAAAAAAAAAAAAAACTTCCATAAAACTGCATCAAATTCAAGAGTCAGTTTCTTCTGGTTGATAGAAATTTAATATTTTACAAAATCTGAAATAAATCAAACTTTTAAAATTTTCACTGCATTTTTTTTTTTAGGAATTGGTTGAAAATATATCATAATTAACTATAGTTCACCATTCCATACATGTATATTTAAATACTTTGGTTAACGACTTTAGAATACAGAAAATGAATGGCTAAGAAATGGATTTTGTAGATTTGTGATGTTTGTGTGCATATTTTTTCTTTAAGTACACAGATCTCATTTGCTTTCTTTTCTTCTCTTTAGGATTTAATTCTCATTTACAGTCACTGTATAAAGTTATGCTGCAAGAATTGAAACATATATTGAATTCTTGATCTGCAGTTTTCCTTGACTGATTCCTATAATAGTTTTTTTAATTATTTATACATAATTTTATTCACATGAAGTGAATGGGATTGGGCAGCAGGTATACCTATAGCCTATAATTTTTACGAATATGTTTGTACTAGCTTGATTTAAAAAGAAGTATTTTAATTTATTGCATTTATCACCATATTGTGATAAATGCTTTTAATACCAGTGCAAGAGCGATAATTCGTGCGTTCTTGGTAGTGGTTAAACATTATTGAGACCATGAGGTATAAATAGAGGACGCAATTTAATCAAGCACCTTATGACCCCGATTGTACCTGAGGGACCAGCTTGATCTTTGTGGGTACCAAAGGCAAGTTTTGGGGCCTACCCCTGGGGGTATTATCCCCAGGTTGTTGTTGTATTCCAGGGGAGGCAGGTATAGAGTTAGGGCCCGAGTCAGAACTTGAATTCATTCATTTGATGTGGCACTCACTCTTGTTGGTACCAAGAGGTCTGTTCCCACCACAGTCACCTGTGGGGGCGCTATCGCGCCAAGGATCTAGGGAGGTCATCCCGGTAGGCAGGTAGTGATTCCCTGGGTTCCGCCGGGGTATTTACATCTATGTATAAATAGATTGTGACAAATAGTCGCCACAAAATGTAATCATTGTTTCACAATAAATGTGTAAAATTAATATTTGTTACTATTCATTGCATCTGGGATTAATGTAAATAATATACTACTTATTTGTACCGAAGTACGTGTATTGAAATCTCAAAACAAAATCCTGCCCGTTGGATTTAAATAAAGCTGATTGTATACTTTCAATGCTACTCATGCTTTCTAACATTGCTTCTATCCCAGGGTTGTTTAAAGATGCCATTTTATATACTCATTATTTTTTTCCTATCACGCTTTTCCGCTTGATTAATCAATGACAGGATATGTTTTATCAATACAAACTGAAAAGCCTTACGTTCTAATAAAAGAATTATCATATATACTATGGCATGTCAAATGTTGCATTATTCGATCTTTTTCATTTGTATAGTATAATTTTCCATTAATATTCTATAATTTTTCATTTGTATTGTATAATTTTTCATTTGTATTGTATAATTTTTAATTGCATTCTATAATTTTTCATTTGTATTTTATACTTCTCAGTTGTATTGTGTAATTTTTCATTTGTATTGTATAATTTTTCATTTGTATTGTATAATTTTCCATTTGTATTGTATAATTTTATGTTTGTATTTTATAATGTTTATTTTTCTTCTATAATTTTCCATTTGTATTTTATAATTTTGCATTTGTGTTGTATAATTTTCCATTTGTATTGTATATTTGTTATTTGTATTGTATAATTTTCTATTTGTGTTGTATAATTTTCCATTTGTATTGTATAATTTTGCAAAACAAATGGAAAAGTATACAATACAAATAAAAATTATACAATAAAAATGGTGAATTAAAGAATACAAATAGAAAATTTAGAATTCAAATAAAAAAATAGAATATAAATGAAAAATTTTACAGTGCAAACGGAAAAATTTACAATACAAATGGAAAATTTTACAATACAAATGGAAAATTTATTAATACAAATCAAAAAGAAAGAGTGCAACGTTTGATATGCCATAATGCACAGAAATGAAATCTGCATATAAAAGGCATAACACTTCGCAGTCGTTTGTATCTCGCTTGTAGGCCTTAAAATTTATTTTGTCATAGTGAGTTCTCAATGAAATAAACATATAGACTATAACGGTAACACATAAAAGCCGACATTTTTTAAAGCAGCAAATCTGTTTAACTAATAAGAATACTTTTAAGGTCAAAGATTTCAATTTCCACTGTGGAAAATGTATGCCTCATAACACACAAAAGATAGAACTGTTGTGATGGAGTGTTGCTTTCATGAGAGGCAAGTCGACGTAGTCCCAAATAATTACTCATGCACTGAAATCAATCATAGTTAACAATTCATTTTGACGCGTTTTTTTCCTTATTTTTTTTGGTAAGATTCCATATTGCATCTTTTTTTTTTTTTTAAATTTTCTTTGCTATTTTTCTCAATATTAATATCATTATTCTTTATGTCCAGTATCATTCTGCATTCTTCATATCATTTTGTTTAATAAAAAAGTCTCTCATTTTATGTTTTTATTCCGTTAGTTATCAAGTATATATATTAAGAAAAGTTCTATATTAATTCACATTCTCAGTGAAAATATGTAAATTCTGAGTAATCTAGGATAATACAGGTAAGAAATGAATTCAATTCAGTCAATTTCAACGCAGAAAATAATGTAAATTGTATCAGCCAAAGAAACCTGAAAAAGCTCCGAAAATGCTAGTGGATAAAGTGATCCGATAAAATACAAACACCACGACGCAGTGAACTTTATAAGATTATTCCATGAAGCTCGCTTTTTAGGGAGGAGGTACTATAATGGACATTGACAAGTCATAAGTATGTTGTATTAATTCTGAACGGGCTTTATAACATGCTATAGGAACCGTTTGTAGAGCACATATTTACCGTACAGTGGACTCCCTGTAAACGTATGATATCCAGTGACATTAGGATTGATTGATTGATTGTATATTGTTTTACGTCCCATTCGAGAATTTTTCACTCATATAGAGACGTCACCATATACCGGTGAAGGGCTTCAAATTTTGACCTTTACTCGGCACTCAGGGCCATTGAGCAGTGAGGGATCTTTATCGTGCCAACGCCTGCCGTGACACGGGGCCTCGGTTTTTAAGGTCTCATCCGAAGGACCCTCAACTTTCACTTCAAAGTGCCGAGCGCATGGCGAAGGAACAGTTGCTACCTATTTTTTATCGACTTAGGTCTGTCGCGGCCGAGATTCGAACTCACGACCTCCCGATCACGGAGCGAGCGCTCTACCGACTGAGCTACCGTGAACGGTTTGTGACATTAGGAAGTAAGGAAAATATCTTATCAAAAGAAATACATGTAATGCATTTATAATCCTGTTTCTTTAATATTATTATTTTAAAACCGATTACGATTTAAGGAGGTTGAATCCTACCATCAAAAGTAATGACAATTTTTTATCAAGTATATTTTTAGAATCTACACACATAGCTTAATTAAAAATAAAAACAAAAAATGGGGGTCAATGCGCTTCTTTTGGCGCTACAGAGCATTTAGTTTGACCTTTTTGCACTGTAAATACGTCTTACACATAAATGAATTTTTAAAGTTTTTCCTCCAATATTTTCTATTCAAATAAATTATGGGAACATACACAGTCTTGTTTCATCTTAAATAGACACATTAAAATTTGTGACAACAAAAATTTTTAAAATTACTTCACACGTTCAATTATTTGACATTTTTGCACTCAAAGAATATCATTTTTCTGGCATTAAAAATTTAACAAGCAATAAAATCATCTGAAAGTAATGACACTTTACTGAATTTAAGAAGAATGGTTAAAAGTATCTTATATATTCAGAAAAGAAAATTAAAAGTGGGGGTCTGTGATGTTAAATTTTAGATATTACTAAAATAGTGCTAATTTTAAGCTTAAATTAGAGCTAATTTTTTCTGGATTTACACAATATATTTGCTATATTTATCAAATATGATGAAAGAATTCATGATAGTTTATTTAATATATAATTTAGGACCAGCATAAAACAGTTCACGTCACAGAATAACTCTGTGTGCAGGCTGCATGGAAAATTAAGAATCCAAACTTAACATACTTTAAATACGTCGAAAGAGAAAACATTATCATTTTCTTCTTAAAAAAAAACCTTCCGCCACATAATATAGTTCCTCACGTAAATTATTTGGTATGGAATTTAATCATGGAGTTTTAACTGAACATAGTTTAATTAGTATTGTAGAATCCAAATTTATTGTAAGAACTAAAACATTATGCAGAATTTTTGAAATATAGGTTAAGACAAAAATCTGCTCAAAAGCGCAGGAGCGAACCTCGTTAAATAAGCTTCATTTTAATCTAGATAAATAAAAAAAAGTGTGATATAAAAAACTTTTAGCTGACATGAAGAACAGTAAAACAACATAATGATAAAACACCCAGCACGACAGACAAAGCGTTACGACAAGGTACAACACCCAGTTACTTTATGTAGCTCAGCATTGCGAAGTACATACAATGCATGTATATACACCCAACACAAATCTTACGTAGTGGAGCAAGATTTGTAACCTCAGATTTTTACGTAGCTGTCAAGTTTTTAATTCTAAAATATTTGCTCGTGTTAAACGAAATAGGACAACTTTGACTGTGATCAGTAAATTGGCATAACGTCTGACTGTGAAGTTTAAGGACCCTCTCTATACACTGCACTGAAGAGTTCTAATTCCACAGTATTTTTATGCAGTGAGAGTGATCTGCTCTTAGATCTAAAACGAAATACATGTAAAATGAAATTTACAGCATTTTACTCTATTTGTAATCAAATCAAGAATTTCTAACATTTTATTTCGTCAAAAAAATTAATTGAACACTTATTTGCATCTGTTTTTTTTTTATTTCTGTTTATCAATACTACATGTATGCTGTCTTTGACTTTTTTTTTCCTGAGGGTATATGGCAGGTTCATGTGTTGAAAATGATTTTTCATTATTTACACCTTTATGTGAAGTTTATCCTCAAGTTCCCAAAACATTTTTCATTAGTGTATAGAGGATCCCTAAGGTTTTCTTTTAAAAAATGAAGGAAAAAATAAAATGATATATAAATACACAAATACACATTAATGGTAACCTAACAATAAAACTTTATCATAAACGTAATGACTTCAACTTTCCTATCTTCAGCTTCCCTCATTTATGTAGCAATATACCATTATCACTTTCATATGGAGTTTCCAGAAACGCAAGAGTATGCTCAATGTAAGAACAATTTCTAAAATGAGACAAACTATTGACAAATAAGTTGATGAAATAAAAATATCAACAAACTCATTTAAAGTCTACATTTTGCAAATTTTGTAGTCGATACATTGATTTTGTCAGCAAATACCATCTTTCATTATATCGAAAGTTAACTGATATTTTTCACACACAAATTGTTAGGCCATTATTTTCACTCTGAATTGTCTACAGATTTTTCCGTTTGCCCGATCATGACAAGGAACACATGGCGGCTGTAACCGGTCGACAGGGGATATTTACTCCTCCATGGCAACTGATCCCACTTCTGATGTTTTTAGAGTTCAATATTTGCTCTGCTCCAAATTTGTATTGTTTCAATGGAATTTGAGCTTGATTTCTGTTCTTTATCTTTATGTTTTATACAAAAATTTGACTTAGGAATGAAAAAAGAAACTTTCTGCCTTCGATTCAGGTCATACGTAAATCAGCATAACTGATGAGGATAGTAAGAAATCGGTGTGGCCTAATTATTAATACACCACAATTACACAGCTAGAAAGGTCAATAACAAAACAATAGAGATATCCATCACTATTTACGACTTACAGTGTCAGATGAAAAGGTTATAAAATGTAGTGTTTAAAGATTATTCAAGCGAGTATAACTTTGATTCTAATTCATTTCCTTGTTTGTTCCCCATATGTTTAACATGAATGGAAGAAAAACTAAGAAAATAAAAAGGAAGAAATTAAATTGTGAAGCAAGCAGTACAATAGGAAAAAACTAAAATTATTTTCTTAACGAGTTCTATTTTTTTTTAAAAACTTTTTTAACACACACACAGACCCCTTCTCTCTCTCTCTCTCTCTCTCTCTCATACACACACACACAGAGCAAAAATCAATCAATCAATAAAATCAAATTAAATTAAAAATAAAGTCATTTATATCAGATACTTAAAGTCAAATATGGCGTATTTATTATAAGTTCAGACTAACTAAAATTAAAAAGATCTTTCTATTTTTTTTATTACTTTACATAAAGATATGACTTTCCTGTAAATTACACAATTTAAATCAATCACGTTTCAAAGATATTAGAAATTTCAAACAATAACCGATTTATTTACCGACTCCGCATTTAAATAACAGACACAGTTTAAAGTCAATTTTACTATGGAAACATTCAAGTTCAAAATTGGTGAAAATTTTAATTTGAATAACATATGTCATGTTTATCTACACTTAATCTCGTATTTTTTATATCATTTAGCTCAGATACGCCATATATAGCTTTAGAAAATATATTCATAGCAAGTTATTTATTTTTTTTTTTGTTTTACAACAGCACAGAGATTAAAAAAAATAAAGGAAACGGAGGGTTTTATTGAATTCACTTTTAATTACAACATACTGACATGGTAGATGTCTTACAATTCACCAGACGCAAGAATAACATCATTTTGATATAATGAAAAATGCAATTAAAAAAATCCATCGGTAATTTTCCTGAAAATGCGTTTATAAAAGATAAAGTATTAACCATGAGTCGCATTCAATCACTCATTTTTGTGTTTCATTTGGGACTAAATTCTGGACAACAGTTAAAGCAAAATTGTTTATCACGATTATTTAAGTGATGTTCAAAAGTTTTCAAAGTTTCACTTTAAACTTAAGAGCATTAAGGGTGATTTAAAAACATGCGATGATACCGAGGAAAATCGGTATTTAAAAAAACAAACAAGTGTTAATTAGACAATACATTAAACGTGTCAATGATCAAATGATACATTGCATAAGTTCTCTGAGCACACTATTTGCGCAGATAACAGCTATAAAGTATCATAAAAGTTTTCATTTATTCATTCTGGTGAGATCAGCTTTAAGGTAAAGTTGGTTTTCAGTTCTTGTAATCAGAAATATCTTTTCACTAATTAATTTGTCCTGAACTATACTCTTTGTAAGACCGGAACTCTTGCGCACATAAGGAAACTAAACTGTTTAGTAAATACATATGATAGATATTATTTGTATTCTATTTTTATAACTAAAGGTGTAAATAAGAATCTTACGGGGAATTGCGGGAAAAATATTCGAAAAATTGCCCGATTTATATAATATTTTGCTAAGGATATGACGATAATTTTCCTATTTGAAATAAAGGGCATAGTAGCTTTATTCAAAGTGTGTTCTTTTCATTCCCCGTCAGTAACATTTCTGACAACTAGAATGTGATTTCAAAAAATTCAAAACACCATTACAACTTCAATAAAACTTAAAATGATGAATACAAGGCATATGTATCTGTCGACGGATACATTCTTTCGCTGTGTACATTAAAAATGATTGAAGGCCTATGTTCTTTGAGGAAAAAAACCCATTGCTGCGGCCTACAGAGCCTCAGGTGTTATTACAATAGTTGCTCTTGGATTATCGATTTACTATGATAATAATAGTACTACATAATTGTGTAAATAATTTTTATGAAGATCATTTTCCTTGTAGCTGGCAAATATATATTCGAGTACAGTAGCTATATACATATGCAAATAGGCGAACATGATGTTATACGAGCTATAAAGATTTTTGCGTATCTGCAATGGGTAAATGACAAATGTATCTTGCCTAGATGAATATTGTTTATCATTTGTATACAGATAATAGCAACTTAGAACTAGAGCTATAATTATTTGAAGCCTCCAAACACAAGTCTTTTACTGATATAAATCCAAAAGCACCCACTTAATTACTTCACGGGGCGACAAATCTATGTACATATTTTTTTATTTAAGGGAGTCGACTGGGGTTTTATTGTGTGAAAACTACAATAGAAAAAACTTTTTAATTTTATATCATATGTTTCTTACTTTAACTTCAATATACATGCCAAGTTTCGTGAAAATCTACCGCCTGGTTATGTTTTAGGGACAATCTCAAAATACAGGTACATTTACTATAAGATTATATAGGAAAATACCATTTTTTGCACTTCGGAGCAAATTATACAAATGCTTTTATAGACTTCTGCTCAAATTATATTTTTTGATGGTTAACACTATATTGTACATTTTGTGCAAGAAAGACGGAATTCTACCGTCTGGTTTCCAGAGGGGGCATCTCAAATATCAAAATTCATTATATTTTCCTGTTTTATGGAGTACAACGAAACATGACAGATACCACAGATTTACATAGAAAATGATAAAATAATTGTTAGATTCTCTATTTCCTACGTTTAAAACTTCAAGAGCATATATTTTATACTTTTTATTTTATGGCATAACTAATGACCCCTCTTAAAGAACTTAAAGGTTATTCATAACGTTCAAAAACACACCATTACGACGTCTATCTACCCATCATTTAAAAAATCGTTTTAAAAATCAGTTATTTAAAAACGTAATTAGATTTTTGACCTAAGATTTCCTAAATTTGTTAATTTTGATAAATTATGTAAAAATAGTTGCTTTAAAAGAGTAAATACGCTTTATTTTACCATGCTGTGCAAAGTATTGCGCAATGAAAATCCCACTCGGTCCCCTTAATACAAAATATATAGTTTAAGCATAAAAAATTATATTCATTATTTCTTTAATTTTTTTTATTCTTTAAGAGAAATTCATGCATGCATGTACACTCAATTCGACGAAAACAAGAGAAAAGGAAATAAATGACTGGAAAAATGGTCTAACATTTTCTGGTTTGTTCAGAAAAAACTTAGGGAAATCATAATGTACAATGTAATAAGAAAATTTTTTAAAATTTGATTTGCAATATGTCGATTTGTACATTTTTTTCATTTTTTTTTTCTATTTCTTTTTTAGGGCGAAAATGTTGTCGATTTACTTGGGTGTATTGATTGTACTGGGAGCCAGTGTCAGCGCGCAATTCGAAAACTTTGACAACTTTAACAATTTTAATAATTTTAACAACTTTAACCGAAGATGCACATCAGTAAGTATTCCTCATGTTTAATTGATTTCAATCACACTCATATTCAGACAAATATTTTAAAACTAAGTTATCATTATATATGCATTTCATTTTTCCCTCTAATTGACAAGCCTATGAAATTTTTAATTGCTTAGTTACCAAGAGGAGATACTTGTCCAGTATATCAGGTCTGTCTGGCAGGAAGATGTCAGAATGCTCGAGGTATATATATGTGAAATTTTTCTCACCATTGATTTTTTGATCTGTTTTAGGAATGAAGGTGATAGAGTTTATAAATATCACTTAATTATTAGTATTGGTTTGTTTGACTCTCTGAAATACAAAACTTATGTTTTTATAGGATCATTTATATTTTACTTTATTTGCATTGCATTTATTTGGGATAATTAAATATCAGTAATGTTAAGATGAGAGTACGTAAAACATCTGGGTGAATTAAAAAAAAATGACCAAATGCATATTTATCAACCCACACTAAAAATACAGGCAATAAAAATAAATTTCTAAGTCTCAGCATATGTCTTAAGATAGCGTCTAAATACCTGCCAAATATCTCGTTGATATCTCAATTAACAAAAAAGTTTTGCCCAAATATGATGCTAAAATTGTCAGGAGTGCAACACCTTTTTGTGACATTTTGAAATTTCAATATTTTTTGGAGATCTGTGAAATAAAAAACAATGCTTCGTGTTGAAAATAAAGACTTTCCTGATAATATTCAAAGTATTGAGGTTTAAATGTGGACTGTCATAACTTTTGTTTAATCAAGTTGTGGTCATGACTGATGTTTAAAAAAATATTACATCATGTCAGGAGTGCAACAAAAAAAATGTAGTGTTGCCAAAAAACATCAATTGTAAAATTCTGATAGAAAATTAAGACAAAAAAGAATTTTGGAAGTGTAAAATAATAACTGATATACATTTTAAAACTTAAAAATGTTATATAAATCACAAGCAGCATTAATGAGAGTCAAGTACATGTGCATACCCAAAAATGTCAGGAGTGCAACATTTGATGTTTTGCTCCCAAGCATGAAAACACTATTGTCATTATATAATCTTCTGATTTTTATTTTGGAAAATAAAGACACAAAGAACATTTTTACCAAATAGATTTATCAATTACAGGATCTGTCTGTGCTTCAGATCCATATTTCTTTGGTCAGGAATGCAACACATTTCTTTAAAGATTCAAGTTGTGTGTCGAAAAGACTTCTATTCATGCTTAGAGGTATTCATTAATTAATAGTGATCTTTTTGTATAATTTAATGCTAAATTATTGATAGTTTTATTATTAAAATCCTTCCTTTTTCAATTTTATCAATTCGGATGTGTTTTTATCTTTTTTGTGATTTTTTTAATGAACGTTAAAAATAAACACACTAAAACATTGTCATTAAATTCAAGTAATTCCTCCTCAACTTCACTGAAACAACAGAACAAGTTCTTATGTAATTTTCACTTCATAATTCTACTTTAAAGGCCCCAATGCTTTTGGTCAGGAGTGCAACAAATATGTTAGAATTATAAATCATCCACTAAGAATAAAAATAAAGAAAAAATGATGCGTAGAATTTTTCTGGTGGGTTACTATGTTTGTCCTCTAAAGGAAAATATGCTTTAAAATATATTTTATCTTCTAAATATACATCTAAGCTAGTTTTTTGGCATAAAATAGGGTATAATTCCAGATAAAATGCGAATTTTAAATACTATCATCTGTTTTAATTATGAAGTATTGGACTATAAGTATTGCACAATTTCATTACCACTTGATGTTGCCAACACTTTATGAATTTTTGTGTTCTATGGTTTTAATTTTAAACTTTACTGCAGTCAGGAGTACAACAAAACTGCATGCTTTATAATTACTGATGCTTTTTAACTACCTTTACTAAAAAATAAGTTGAAAAAAATGCTTGATACTATTTGATGTTCAAAACACTATGTCTATCAACAAATTAGAGAAATTTTACAATCAATTCAGGGAATAGTTTTCATCATTTCACATATATTTTGAATAAAATTTATATATATTACACTTTGCAAATAATCATGTTTTAAGGTCTTCAAAATATGAAAAACCTGCTGTAAACGATGAAAAATATCAACACGACAAATTGATTTACAAAGTAAGAATGGGTTATTGTGTGTTATAATTTTTAAAACAATGTTAAATAAAATACATATCAGATGTCAGGAGTGCAACACAATAATGTAACATAGGGTCACTTCAAAATCTAGTATTTTTTGTAAGAGAACTCGTATGTAACAATTCTTTTTTGGCTTAGATTTAAAGAATTGACTTGAATGGACAAAAAAGTGAATTTTGGAGAATTTTATTGCTTCATATTTTTTTCATATTAAAACTTTTCAAACCAGAATTGAAAAAAATAATGTAAAATAACAATCAAAAAGCCAATTTTTTGTCACATGTAAAAGAGAAGATACTCATTCAAGGTCTAGATTTAATCATTTATACCCCTTTTACCATTTTGAAGCATAAAAAAACTATAATTTCTTGTGATATGTATTTTAGAAAGTCTTTTAAGGTGTAATGATATTTTATTTTTTCAAAAGAAATTTTACTCATAAAAATTCTGAAACTTTTTAAACCAATTGTCTATTCTATTGCCACTTCAGGATTTTAAACTAGAATGCATTTGCAATATGATGATATAAGTGAAAAATATGTTATAAGTAGTTGAATTTTGCCAAAAAAATTCAGTTTGGTGGTCATTTTTTTTTAATTCACCCATCTCTAGTATTCTGTTGTCCCCGTTTGTTGTGTCTTTTTAATTAGTATAGTTCTTTTTTGTTTCAGGAAACTTTGAGAGATGCTCCATGGTAAAAAAAAAAATGAAAACAAAATTTCTTTGAATAACTGTTACACATTCTTACAACAAAAACATCACTAAAAATTTATCTAAATACTTTCTTAGGATTTATATATATCAACAAATTGTGCATAATTTGAAATTACGTTCAAAATTAAACTGACACATGCTTAATAAATGATTTCTTATGACTTACATGAAATACATTCTGAGACAACAAAACATATGAATAATTTTCTTTTTCAGGGTGGGACATGCGAAAATTCTTTTACACACACCTGCAGAAAAGGGTATTGTGTACCAAGTGTGTAAAATATATTTTTTTCTAATTTCCTACATATTTTCAAAAATTAATAAACATGGATCGCACGTATCAAAACGAATGAAATATTCTGTGAATTGGCTTTATTGCCTTTAAATGTATATTATCCAAAAGAGTTTAAGAATTTTGCGTAAATATATTTATTGGTATGATAAGATGGAACAAATATTACATTGTTTAAGCAATATTAATTTCTAACTTCATTTTATTTGGATGTAAAATGTACCTGATAAGTTACAATAATGATCTTATGATAAAGTAAAACAAATGTGATTCCATATTACAGCTTTGGGAACCTGTAGATTTGTGAGTATACACAAACAAATTTAATTAATTTAATCACATTTTCCCCATCTAATATTTATGTTATTCATTTTTTAAGGTTATTTCAACGAAAAAAATATCCAAATACATGTAATTTACATTTAAATTACATATAATTTTGAAAAATCAAACCAAATATTGAACCCTGTTTCATTTTCGCATACGATAGGAATAAGATAATTTGAATTCTTTTAGGAATGGAAAAAAATTCAAAATTTCTTTATTTGTTAAAAATTTTTCCAACAAAAACACAATTAAATACTATATTCTTTGCATAATTTTGAAGGACCACGACTGTGGAATTCGACAAAGGTGTAATATGGGGACATGTGTAGCAGGTATGTACAATGTACTATAAGTTGTATAATCTTTATGTATAATGTACACAGACCTTTATTATGTTTTGGAAATTGTAAAAAGTAAATGTTATTAATTGAAAACAAAGCTTTTTTGAAATTACAGTTTATTCAAAATTAATACCAAGACGAATGTAAATCAACAGATTTATTTGAAATTTACTCTAAATTATGTGTTGGCAGTACGAATGGAGAGTTGTCATTCTTTTTTCAGATACCACTAGAGAATGCCGATCAGTAAGTAAAAAAGAATTTGAAGCTGCGATCAGGAATAAAAGATATGCAATTGTTTATTCACTCTCGAAGTCTACACGTAGTATCGAAAGAAGGATTATTAAATAAAATGCAAAACTATGCAAATCTTTTCAATGTAAGTCTAACATCTATTAAGGAATTGAACGTTTCAAAATCTTTGTACTATTATATTCATTTCAAGACCCGATGCTATAGTAAACAGAATTAATGTACCCTTCAAAGACAATGTTGACAATTATATTCAAATTAAATATATAATGAAATCGGTTAACTTTTACATATCTTAAAAACACTTTGTAGCATCATTAGTCATAGTAAAAAGGTATAATGATATGTACACTTACAGCAAGTGATGATTATATTAATTGTATTAAGTTAACATGTTTAACCATGCATGCTGTATTTGCCTACAAATAATAAATTAACAGTTCCTTCTGATTACAGGAAAGAGATTGCGGATTTGGGTCACGGTGTGTTGGCGGCAGGTGCTATTCAGGTAAAAATAAATTATCGTGCGCACAATTCCCAAAACACCCTAATGCAAACACTCTCCTATATGAAAGGAACACAACCTGATTGATTTTGTACGAAGATATCCTAAAGACTTGTAAATGTTTTGGTCTATGATTAGTAAATGATTTCATATTAAAGATCAACACAAATCTCTATTTACTCTGAAATTATACTTCGTTTTAGTTCAACGTGAAAAGTATGGAAGGTGTTTCACAGATTTATTTTTTTTTTCATTTCAGATTCAACACAATGCATGAGAGTAGGTTGAAATATGTGTTACATACATATGTTTTTTGCTAGGCATTGTCAAACATTTTCACCTAATTCAAGTTCATCCTGGCGAAGTCGTTCAGTTTATTGATATCATTAGGGCGGAATGTCTTTAGCCTGTGCATCCAGAATTTTCTTTGCCTTTTCTCTGAGCATCTGTCCATTTTGCATCGTGTTTAATGACCACGCGTGTCCCCCCATTTGTGACCTTCAATGCTAAAATGTACCCCAACTCGTTCTTTGAGTTTTCACGTAAATATGGTAGACAATTAAGAAATCAGGAATAATTACTGAGATTGCTTATTTAGTTGTTGAATAAAAAAAAAAACTATGTTTTTTGTATTAAAGGACATTGATTGTGGACCAAATCAAAGATGTCGAGGTGGAACTTGTCTCGCAGGTTAGGAATAAGAAACGTGTTACATTTTACTTCTTGTATATACTGGGAATAAACGGCAAATTGAATTTTTGTGAAATCGAAGAAGATGCAATTATCCATTTTGATTCTCTTTTTCAGACACACTTTGCAATAGGGTAAGTATAAAATAGATACATCAGAATTTTATACTTTATATCCCTTGATATTCATCTAGCAGTTTTTGCTTTATAGCTTTATTCTTCTTCGAAAAATAAAATAATATGAATATTGCTTTGTTGTCGGCATGGATTTGGCTATACTGTTTTGTTTTCTTGATGCATATTTAAAAAATATCTTTTAAATAGTTTCGGAAAATAGATAGGTTAAGCGTTAATAAACCAAAAAAAATTGTTAAAAAGACTTTCCGATAATCATCCTCTTTTAGATTGAGAAGAACCGTCTCCGTGTTCTGAAAGTTTTCAGAGGATTTTTTTAAACTACATGAGCGTATTTGCTGTCAATGTTTCATAATCACCTAAAAGCACTTCAAATATCCAATTCTTCAGTATCAAAATGTACATTAAAATCCATGAATATTATATTTATAAAAAAAAATGAGAGAGAGAGAGAGAGCACGTCTTGACAGCTTGTTTGCTAGCAAAAAGTAAGGACATTTATTAATAGTGACTACAAGTGGGTCTTCATTCTGCAGAATTATTTTCATTACTTCCCATTGAATAAAAATGATATTTTTAAAGGGATAACTTTCACAGTGAAATCTAGTCTGTAATATATGTAAAACATTTGAATTCTTTTTCTTTAAAAACTTGATTTCAATTAAATTGGATTAATTTAGCCAGTAATCAATAGTAACAGTAAAAAAATCACTATATCTTGTTTAAATACAGGACAATGACTGTGGATTTGGTCAAGTTTGTCGATTCGGCACCTGTATGGAATCAAACTTAGGTAACTTAAGATTGTTTGCAATTTGAGTACCAGTAAATAAAAAAAGAGCGTTTTAAAAATCGAAATTTAAACATAATTGCCGATCAAATGATACATTGAATAAATATGAAATTAGAAATAATTTTGTGAATGTGTTATATTCTTTCAGGAAGTTCGAGGCGATGCAGGATGGTAAGAAAAGAAGAAAAAAAATGTTCAACATTAATAGCATAATGATCAATCTAATCATTGACATCGAAGGTTCAAAACCAAAAGGTGGAGATAACGAACAGTGATCGATCTAAAAAAAAAATATATGTACAAACAATACAAACACGGACCAGTGGAAATTTCAGACGTGGGATCAGGTGCCTAGGAGGAGTACACATCTCCTGTCGACTGGTCACATCCGCCGTGAGCCCTACATGTATGTATTGATCAGGTAATGATTAATCGTTTTACATTTATATCGGGGTCTCACTACACACATAACGTGCCTAAAAATACGTATCAAATATGTCTTCAACAACATATACTTTCATTCAAAAATAAATCTCTGTTCCAAAAAAAAAATCATATTCGACTAAATAAGTATTTGAATGAAAACATCAACAACACATCCATACTATATTCCAGTAAACTCGAAATAAAAGACACTACAGACTCTTTCATATCTGTTTCATATTTGGATGCTTTACTGGCTGTAGATGAAAAGGGCCCATTAACAATTAAATTGTATAGCAAACGAGATTACTTCAATTTTTCCATCGCCAACTTTCCTTTTTTAGTGTTAATATTCCGCTGTCACCTGAATGTGGTGTTTATGTCTCCCACCTTATTCGAAACTCAAGAGCAAGCTCTGAGTACGATCAATTTTTGAACCGAGTCAGGCTACTGACACATATGAGTTTATGTTATATGGATTTCAACAACCTCGTTTAAACTCAGCATTTCGTAAATTTTATTGATGTTATAATGAACTTGTTAGCAAATACGTATAACTTCTCACTGGGTCGTGTTTTGACTGGCGTAGTTCATACCAATTGTAAGGCCCTTGCTTTTATACTAAATTTGATTATGAAAAATTCCGTCTACCTGATCAATACATAGGACTCACGTGGATGTGATCGGTCGACGGGGGATGCTTACTCCTCCTGAGCTTCTGATCCCAACTCTGGAATTCCAGGGAGTCCGTGTTTTATGTCCTGTTCACGGATGTGTATTGTATAGTCTTTTCTTTTAGATCAATCACTGTTAGTTATTTTCACCTTTTTCATTATCGGCGAGTTTATTGGAACTACACTGTGCATGATATTTTAGATAGCATTCCACACAGTGTCATTGCTTATGTGAATATATCAAAACCCATAGTTTATTTTTAATCTGTTTGTACTTGCAATGCTGTTATTTCCTTTTACTAAAATATAAACGTCTTTATAATTGTAGGACAGAGAATGCGAGTTGTACGAACGATGCCGTAATGGATATTGTGTTCAAGGTATGGAGTAATATGATAACTTAATATAATGTCTGGAATAAAAAAAAAATAATGAAAAGACTATGTTGTTAATCTGAAAATAGCTCCACAATATCAGCGTAACGTTCACTTACACCCCATCCCCCCCCCCCCCCCCAAAAAAAAATACAAATCACTAACGAAAGCGAAAAAGGTGGATAATTCCCATGTTAAACTTGCGTCGAAATATTTCTCATGTTTTTACAGTAAACTCTTCTCTGTCTGAAACAAGATTTTTATAGTCTTTGTTTTTCTCCTTCAGGTCAGGGCCAGGGTTCCTCTTACTGTAATCCTTACAGAGGTGTAAGTCTTGTTTAATTTATTCCTAATGTCAAACATCTTCCTGTAAGCTTTACAGAGATGTTAGTCTTGTTCAGTTAGTATTATATGTCAAACCTGAAATCATAAAGGCTAAATAATATTGAGAAAATAATTGTTTGCAGTTTATTTTTCTATAGAACAGTGAAATATGAATTTCGTCTATTTTATTTAAATGACTATTTTTAATTAAGCTCAGAAATTTCTTTTGTCTTTCATTGCCAATTTTTATCCATACAAAGAAATTTGAATGCTTTAAATAAATAATGAAAATCACATTCAAATACATGTATTATTGATATAATTTTTGTGTTGATATAAAATGGTAGTGATGACGGTGCAGGTATATATAAATACATTTCTATGCTTTAGATTAACTGTGAAAGAGGATACCGGTGTCTAAACTCTCAGTGTGTTCCTATGGGTAAGTTATTCCAAATGTTAAGATTTCTTTCAAATGCACTGATATAAGTAATAATAATAAACAATCAATTTTAAGTTTTGTGAAGAAAGATTAAATTAATTTTAATTTTTTTTTAAAAATTTTGTACCTAAAGACACGTGTTGCAATATTTCTTAATATGCATATTTTAACAAATAAAAACATCGGTTATATATATATTTTCCCTATACCACAGGAACCCGAGGTATCATTAGAATTTATAATATCAGTTGAAGGATCTTTGAAATTTTCACTTTTAAGTGCGCAAACATTCGGATTCCTGTCTAATTCATATCAAATTCGCCCACATTCCTTTGACCTTATGTCCTATTGTGCATCTTTATATATTAAAATATACATGTATATCATAAATCTTTCCCACTCTAGTACAGAAATATTTGTCCACGGGAATTGCAACAATGAATGAAAATTTCTGTTTCATTACAAGATTGGATAATTCAATATGAGCGACCAAAACTATAAACTTAAATTAATTATTAAACTATCTCTTTTCAGGTACAGAAAATTACCAGGAGTTTTGTCGAAGCGTAAGATAACAATGTTTTTTTATATTCATTTCTTTTATAACTAATTAATGAGGATTTTCGTAAAATTGCTGATGATGTAATGTGTATTATTAGAGCCCACAATGCCAAGCTGGCTACCGCTGTGTGAGAGGGCGCTGCATACCAAGACGCCGTAAGTTATATTGCATGAAATGAAATATGAAAAAAGGGTTATATGATTTTTCTTTAAAAAGTGTCTCATACATACAGTTTTCCAGATGTGAGAAATAAAATAAATAATTTCGATTCATTGCAGATTGTTTAACATTGAGCATTACTATATGTCATGTCATTTTATGTTTTGTCATGTTATATCATGTCATATACATGTATCATATCATATCTTATACATGTATCATATTATATATCATACATGTATTATATTATATATCATACATGTATATAAATATTAATCCGCAATTATATCATAAATTATTGCAGTTTAATAACTGAAGAATGGTAGTCACAAGAAAGAAAGGCTACAGGAACAGACACAGGTTGAGGATAAACCGAAAGACATGTACGAACATTTTTTCCTTGAGAAGAAAGAAAGACAATAGCTGTGGAAGCATAATTCTGAATAAATAGAATAAAATTAAAATGATGAAATAATATTTTTCTGTTTATTGTTATTCTGAGAAAAAATGTTCAAAGCAAATTCGAATATGGCAACTACATGCATGCATTAAACATATACAGGTACATGTACCAGTATTTCACGTAATTACATGTACATGTATAACAAAGGAATTAATAAAATATATCAGTCAGCATATTTGGCGAGATTTATGTGCCACAATTGTCCTAATAAAAAATATACTCCCTCTGGGTAACCACAGTAGGGGTTCACTTTAAAATGTTATCTGGTAAAAAATAATACTGCAAATTTCAATGGCCTGAATCTTGAGAAATTGTAATACTTGGTGAAGAATGCAACACTTTAGATGGAAATTAACGGCTGTGTTGGAAATTAACGGCTGTGCTGAGTATACATTATTCATTTCCCAGTCCAAGCATCAATAAGCCATGTCCCAAATAATATACATGTAAGTATTTTCCAGTCACATGATCCTCCCTTTATATAAACACCTGAGATTTAAAAACATACAAAGTTTTTACAGAAAAAAATCCATCCATTTAAATTTGTACAACTCTTATGCGTCCAAAACTTTTCAGAACTTTAAAATTTTGGACACTTTGAATCTAGCTTTTAAATTAAGAAATTTAAAAAAAAAATTGTAAATTCCATTGTTTGAGGGTGTGCCGAAAGCACCCTCCCCTAAAATCTCCAAAAATTAGGTAACATGTAGATACATATTTAAAGGAAAATTTGTCATTATATTACAATGAGCAGGTTAAAATAATTTTGGAAATTGAAATAGATAAATTTATAGTACACAACATTTGGACCTGGATTTTACTTTTCAAGCAACCAATATTATTGGAAAAATGATTTTCTTAATCATACATTTCAACAATACAGATCCGCCATCAGTTTTTGATACCACAAATTCTACAGACAATAACCTACTTAAGAAGTCGATTTACTTGTGTCAGTAATTCTTTTAACCTCGGAAAATGAAGAAATACATGTGAAACTCTTTGACCTTAAACTTAGAGTTTGACATACATTTTGAAAAACTTGAACCTTGGCCACTGAACAGTTGGTGCAAGGGCTTTCGTATTTAACAAGGGTACTTCGTTTGCCAAGACTTTTCCTTAGGTACCAACTGTTCTGACTATTTTTCCTTGACCCTGGAGTTTAATTTACTTTTGAAAAAGAAATAATTTTGGCCATAACTTTAGAACGATGGGTACTAGAGCTTTCATATTTCACGTGTGTATTCCATGTGATATGGCTTTCCCTCGGGTTACAACAGTACAACAAATCTTTTGGTGCTAGTTTTTTATACCTCACATTTTTATTCCTTGTACAATACCATCCCTTGGGTACCAACAATTTTGACCTTAACCTTTGCGTTTGTCCTACTTTTGAAAAATCTTGACTTTTGTTATAACTTTGGAACGGCTACGGTTTTCATATCTCACAAATGTATCCTTGTGACAAGACCTTCCCTTGGGTATCATTTATTTTGATCCTTTTACCTATAACCTGGAGTTTGGCCTACTTTTTGAAAAACTTTAATCTTGAGCATATGTTTTTAATACTTGTAGTTGATGCTAAGGCTTTTATATAAGGCTTTTATATATAAAAGGATGTATTCCTTGTGACAAGATGATTCTTTTGTTAACATTATTTTTGATCTCTTGACCTTGGAGATTGACTTGCATTTGAGAAACTTTACCTTTGCTGTGAGCTGCCATACGGGGGAATCATTGTTTCACAAACACATCTTGTATTTATAGATTAATTGTAAACGTAAAGAATTATAAATCTTTGTTCCAAGGCGTTTCAAGACGACGTTATTCCCATATTTTCTTTGGTGTAATTCAAGTTGACAAACCTGTGGTTGCTTTTACGATTCTAACATTCTCTGATTTGACCGAAAAAAAATCACACGGAAAACAGATTTAACTCCTGCATTTATTTTAAGAAAAGTAAGAAAAAACTCCCGCTCTCTATATACAAGTCAAAATACAAGTACATTTTAAAAGTCTACACATACGTATAGTACTGTGACTCTTCCTTCGCTTAAGGGATGACCATGCATTTGATTCGGGGGTGGGGGTGGGTCTAAATTGTTGACTCACTTCCTAGAAAGAATCTAAAAAATTAACCTACCGGGGTCATTTTTTAACGCCACTTTGGAAAAAAAATCTGTTTTGAACATAAATAAGTCACCATCGAACCACATTCTAGGTTCCGAAAAAGTATATTCATACACACGCTCACAATTTATTGATTCAATTTCAAGACATAAAAAGAAAAGAGCTAAAACGTAACCTGTATGCATGAACAGGACAGCGGATTTAACAGAAAAGGAAGATAATCTGTAACTATATTATACAAAGATATTTTTTTTTCTATAGAGTGTTTTATCATATATTCATTATTCATATATATATATATATATATATATATATATATATATATATATATATATATATATATATGACATATGGCTTTAGGAGACCAAGGAGGATATATTTTCTGGCTTAGGGAGACCACTGGATTAAGGCGACCTTTTTCGGTCTCCCTATTATTTTGACCTCATCAGTATTGCAAATGTCTTTTTAAAGATAAATAAACAGTCTGCCATTAAATATTATTAATCTTTAACTCTGTTATTTAACATTCAAAAGTTGTCTAATTTCTATCATCTTCCCTAAAAAAGAAAAGAATTTATAACCTACGTATAATTTCAAAGGATAATTTTTCTGCATTTTGGAGACCATGAAAAACATGCAATTAAACAAAAAATCTAGCATATATATTTTTTCCGCTTTTGATTTGTTCAAATGAGTGTTTCTTTCACTTAGTTTTCCATGTTTTATGTTAAAAACCTAAAAAGGAAAAATATTGTAAATTTATGAACCATGTTTTGAATTCTTAGCAAGTGCTTTCCGTCATTTGTTCCGAATGCCATCGGAATGCCCCTTCAGTTTTCAGAAGATGACCTCTGAACACCATGGATGTTGAGAAATTTGGGTAAGTAACTAAAATGATACAGTAATAAGTTGTAATTAAGAATACTCAAGACAAACATTCGTTTTTTTTTGTTTTTGTTTTTGTTTGGGTTTTTTTTTTGCCTAGTAATTTAGCTTTCAAGAAAAAAAGTATGATTTTAAATAATCGTTAGACTATAGTTCGGTACATAAAATCCTGAAGGAAATTCGAAATAAAGTTAAATGATAGGCCCCTATATTTTTTAATTCTTTTATGCAAGTCCACAAACAAATTAAATATTTAAAGATTAGGCCGAATGTTGAAAAAATAGTCTCGCAAATTGACGCAGCTATTTCGAGCTTAAAAATTTAAATTAAACTTTCTGTAAACATCATGCAGGACATGATCATCATGATATAGTATAAATGAAACAGACCCTGAAAGAAAAAAATAGCTGTAATTTAATAATTGTTTATTAATATAATGTGGTCCTCTGCTAATAGAATATATATGCTTTAAAAAAAATCTGAATCGGGGTGAAGCAGATTTGATACAATACATGGCTGAAGGAACGGGGGGGGGGGGGGCAGGCCCCCTGTAATTTTGCTGAAATTTAGGTATACTATAGAAAACATTGCTCCTTTATGCTTGGGCCCCCTCAATAATAACCTCTGATGATCTATTTTTCTTTTGCTTTTGGGCCCCCTCAATAATAACCTCTGATAATGTATTTTTCTTTTGCTTATTAAAATATTTTTGGTTTGTAGCCTCCCCCAACCTGAAACTGAAAAATGTTGTTTGGTTGTGCTCACCCCCCCCCCCTCCCCAACTAAATTACGTACGGGCCTATTCTCCATCCCTGAGGTTTTTTTTCACCAAAGAAAGATTAATTGGTAACAGTTCAGACATATATAGCAATATTTACGGAAGGGAATATTCTCGTTTAATTATGAAGATGTGACAGTAACTCAGTCAAAGCCACAGTGAGTGTAATATTTATTTAATATTATTGTTAATGTTTGCAAATAGTGAAATACTGATACTGTGAAATTTTAATGGATATATAGAAAATATAAAAGTACAGCCATTTATTGTAAATCACATACATGAAAAGCTTCTTTTTTTCAAGCAATTGGAAATTCTTCATTTTTTCATAAAATTATTTTATTTCGTATGTATGATAATTTATTTCGTATTTTAATTCAGTCAACAAATCATTGTCGCAGCCTAGTTCCCTTCATTATTTTCAGCAGTTCAGTGACAGAGATAAAATGATCATTTGAGGTTTATACCCCCCCCCTCCCCACCAAATGAAACTGGAAAATGTTTGGTTTTGGTCCCCTTCAACTGAAATTGATTCCTACTTACCATGGTTACAGGCTTAACTATGAAGATGTGACAGGGAGTGTAATACATGTAACAATAATTGTTCAGACCGATACATATTAAGCTGATATTCGTATCAAATTTTAATGGATAGATAGAAATTAATAAACAATTAAAACCATTTATTATAAACTACATAAAGATAATTTTTCAAGCAATTTGAAATTCTTCATTTTTTATGATAATATTTTATTTCGTATATATGTTTATTCGTATCAACAAATCTGTGTACGAGTTAATAACGCAGCCTGGTTCCCTGCATTTTCAGTGACAGAGAACCAGAATAAGATTGTAGGGAAACAAGCCTTGTTACAAGGTTTGAGGTTTGTTTATTTTATATTTTAATTTACACTTTTTAAAAATTATTATTATTATGCAAAAATCTGTGTGCAGATGAATATTTACATTTTAATGTTATAAGTCGTTTTGTGGTTCATATTTGCGGTGACTGTCCCACGTGTGTTTACCTGTTTACATTCACCTGCTGACCTAGAGTCTCCAAAATATACCTTCTGTAATCATGACTGTTGTAATCTTGTTTTTATGTTAGTTTACCGTATGTAACTTGACTGTTGTATAGATTTATAGCGATCACTGCAAGCTTTTAATATTTAGGTGAAGAGAAATTTCAGACTATCAATCACAGGCACTTGTTCCATATATGGTGCACCCCTACTTATTTTTACCACAAGGTATCTACCTCAATTTCAGGCACCCCCGCTTCAAGCTCGTCTTTTGTTCATGTATCATTATCAATCATTAACCTACTTTAAAATGACATCGTTCGCTTCAAGAGACTTTTTTCTTGTCAAATAAATCGTTTCAGACGTCTCTGGTCGAGTCTGTTTATTGTAAAGCACTCATTTATTCCACGAAAATTACCTCGATACATTTTAAGACTTTAGATGGGATACAACTTCCAGTTGGGGGTAGAATAAAACCAGAGACTTCCGAGTATTCCATTCCGAGGTCTCTGGTTTTATTCTTCATTTATAACCCCAACTGCAAATTTGTATCGAAAATTACCTTGATACATTTTAAGACTTTAGATGGGATACAAATTTCATTTTTTTCACAGGTCACGAGGTTTCAACTTAAAAAATAAAAATTCTGAACGTTAAGATATGTTGGAAATTTTAGCTTGATGTGTTGATAATTTGCCAAATTATTATGTAATAAAGGGGACTTTATATGATCACCCGGTGCTGTCGCTTTAGTTCAGTCTTCACAACAATTCTTTTTCAGCACATGCCCTTCGGGCATGTAGACCTATCATTTTTACCCAGCCCATTCAAATTTGTACATGTCCTACTGATCAAAATTCTTACATTTACCAGTATTGTGCAACAAAAAAAAACCATTAGGGATAAAGGATTTATATTAATTTTTTCAGCGTCGTAAACCAACCATGGCCTGTGATTGCCATTTTCTAAAGCGTTTTTGTTCATAAATAACTTTTGAGTTGCATGCTGGTCATTTGTTGGCCGGTTTAACTGAACTGAATTTCAGAAATGGGATCATGACTGTAGTGCCACAGTATGTGGCATTGATGAACATTTCGTAATTTAGCAAGCAACTTCGAGAAAACAAATAGGTTAAACTAAACACTTCAATGATTAGATTGACAATCATTTGACAGGTCGTATCGAGAATGTAGACATGCAATCCATCGACATTACATATAGCAACATTTAAGCGAATAATGGGGGTAGGACAGAATAAATGGCAAGTAAAGATTGTACAATGAAAGAAGATTCACATATGCCCTCTTCGGACATGTAATTTGGCAAATTTACATGCCCGGCTGCAAATTTAACAGGTCCCTGGCATTGGACTCCCGGGTTATTTGGAAGACTGTTAGTTTAGTTTCATGAGGTCCGACAACATTGATTCTCAATGTCTGCTCCCTATACCCCATACACTTATCTTGATAAAATTATATAAATTATATTATTAATTATATAAATTGATATAAATTATATAAACCGGTCTTGTTTATATAATTTTACAATGTCATAAACAGCTGCTTAAGTGAATATAATATTGTAAATGGATTTATATGTAGGATTAGGGAAAGATCCTCACTTGATTGTGGCAGCATATTTAGCTCGTAGGAGTTTATTATCTACCACACATGATCAATGTCACTTTTGGACGTGAATGACTTTTGACACCCTAACTTCAGTTCAAATCAACGTAAACTTTATGTGACGTCTCTCTGAATCTTTTTTGGCATGTAACTTGGGTAAAAACAATTAAGTACTCTTGATGCATTTGATTTCTCTTAGCCCGTTTAAACATTTCCAAGGTCTATACCAGTTTTTGCAGGGGCAAAACTATGTAGAAGTTGGAAAAGAAACCCATCCCCTTTTTGACGTATTTGGTTTTCGAGGGGTGAAAATTTTCAGTATTACACCCAACTACATGCAATATTTATTATATTATACTGAATGTTTTATACAAATACAAATAATAGTGAACCTTGAGCGCATAAATCTGCGCAGTCACTATTTTTTGGAATATCACCCGTCGTCAAGCAATGTTGACTGTTGCGACACTGGGCGTGGCTTCATTATTCAGCGGATAATAGTGCTTTTTAACAAATGTTTCTTGACGAATCAGATTAATTCATCTAATATACCTGAAAGTACAATATTAATTAATTGTCATCATTTTCCTATATTAGCATTTTTACTGGTAATGGTTTTGAAATGATAGGAACATGCACTGTTCAAAAAGTCTTAAAATGTTGTTTTGGCTCAATTTCTTTGTTAGATTACTGTGTTGAACTAAGGCAGGTCAATTAAAGTAACATGATCCTATAGATTCCATGTACATTTAGTACTGTAAAGTAGACAAATTTATTGTTCTCACAAGTAGTTCTCAAACATTGATTTAAGTTGGTCTTCTGAAGGATGTAATAATGCAATTGGTCTGCTTAAGGTACAGTGTATAATATAGACATGCATATTTTATTCTGAATTTGTATTATGTCAATCATTAGAAATATATGGATCTTAATTAAAAAACATTGTTTTCATTAGAATTTAAGATATGTATAATAGGCATATATTCTTCATGCTTTTCCATAGTTAAGTCCTTTTTTACAGGGTCTCTGCTAGAATCATGTGGACCCCAGTATAACAAATCTATGGAAAGAGAGAAAATCTCAGCTCAAGGGTCAACATGTCTTTATTCCAAGAAAGGTAAATTGATAATTTTTTCTGCTAAAATACTCTTTTATAAATTATAATATCAATGCAAAAGAGTGAACAAACAATGAACCTAACAACATTTTGAAAATGAAAGTGCAATAACAGTTAATAATTATGATCAATCGAATGAATGTTAATAATCCAATCAAAGTCCTTGTTGTATATCATTTTTGCTAGGGCTGTGTATTGAGCAAAAAAAAAAAAAAGAAAGACATTTTTTAATGCGATATGCAATATATTGAATTCTTTAACAATTCTGTCAAAAAAGTCTTATAAATCATTATGCATGAATTTTATAAAAATATGATTGTTTTTTACTCATTTTTTATTTTTTGTCTCACCGTCTTTAAAAATTACACTTCAAATTCAAACTTTTCTTGACTGTAAAATCAACATGTTTAGTAAAGTTGTCTGTATTTTTATGATTTTGTAATAATCATTTAAGATGTGCTACCTCCTTAATGATTATATCATTTTTATCAGTTTTAATTCAAAACAGTTACCGGTAAATATAATCTTTGGTGATTGAAATTCCCAAGTTTTTCACAGAATTACATAAAAAAACTGCCTGCCCAAAATGTATTGGAATTAAGTTATTTTTAGCTCACCTGAGCCAAAGGCTCAAGTGAGCTTTTCTGATCAAAATTTGTCCGTTGTCTGTCGTCGTTGTCGTCTTTGTCGTTGTTGTTGTTGTAAACTTTTCACATTTTCATCTTCTTCTCAAGAACCACTGGGCCAATTTCAACCAAACTTGCCACAAAGCATCCTTGGGTAAAGGGGATTCAAGTTTGTTCAAATGAAGGGCCACACTCTCTTTCAAGAGGAGATAATTAAGAATTAGTGAAAATTTAGTGGTATCTTTTAAAAATCTTCTTCTCAAGAACCACTGGGCTGTAAAAGTTGAAACTTGAGTGAGACCTTCATTACATAGTGTAGATTCAAGTTTGTTCAAATCATGACCCCCTGGGGTAGGGTGGAGCCACAATGGGGGATCAAAGTTTTACATAGGAATATATACATTTGTAGGAATAAATCTTTAAAAATCTTCTCCTCAAGAACAACAAAGCCATGATTAGTCATATTGATATGGAATCATCCTCAGGTAGTGTAGATTCAAGTTTGTTCAAATCATGACCCCCAGGGGTAGGATGGGGCCACAAGGGGGGATCAAAGTTTTACATAGGAATATATAGAAAAAATCTTTAAAAATCTTTTTCTCAGGAATAGCAAAGCCACATATGGAATTATCCTCAGGTAGTGCAGATTCAAGTTTGTTCAAATCATGACCCCCAGGGTAGGGTGGGGCCACAATGGAGGATCAAAGTTTTACATAGAAATATGTAGGACAAATCTTGAAATTGTTTTTCTTAAAAACAACAAAGCCACAATTAGTCATAATTTATATGGAAGCATCCTCAGGTAGTGTAGATTCAAGTTTGTACAAAATCATGACCCCTGGGGGGGGGGGAAGGGGCACAATGGGGGATCAAAATTTTACATAGGAATTTATAGAAAAAAAATCTTTAAAAACCTTTCTCTCAAGAACAACAAAGCCACAATTAGTCATATTGATATGGAATCATTCTCAGGTAGTGTAGATAAAATTTTGTACAAATCATGACCCCCAGGGGTAGGGTGGGGCCACAATGGGGGATCAAAATTTTACATAGAAATATGTAGAAAAAAATCTTGAAAAATCTTCTTCTCAAGAACAACAAAGTCACAATTAGTCATATTGATGTGGATTCATCTTCAGGTAGTGAAGATTCAAGTTTGTATCAAATCATGACCCCTCGGGGTAGGGTGGGGCCACAAGGGGCGATCAAAGTTTTACATAGGAATATACAGGAAAAAAAAATTGAAAAATCTTCTTCTCAAGAAAAGCAAAGCCTTGTTAAGTCATATTGATATGGAAGCATTCTCAGATAATGTAGATTTAAATTTGTTCAAATCATGACCCCCAGGGTTAGGGTGGTGCCACAATTGAGGATCAAAGTTTTACATAGGAATACATAGGAAAAAACTTGAAAAATCTTCTTCTCAAGAGCAGCAAAGTCATGTTTTGTCATACTGATATGGAAGCTTCCTCAGGTAGTGTAGATTCAAGTTTTTTCAAATCATGACCCCTGGGGGTAGGGTGGGGCCACAATGGGGGATCACAGTTTTACATAAGAATATATAGGGAAAAAAAACTTGAAAAATCTTCTTCTCAGGAACAGCAAAGCCATGTTTTGTCATATTGATATGGAAGCTTGCTCAGGTAGTGTAGATTCAAGTTTGTTCAAATCATGACCCGTGGGGGTAGGGTGGGACCACAATGGGGGATCACAGTTTTACATAAGAATATATAGGGGAAAAAACTTGAAAAATCTTCTTCTCAGGAACAGCAAAGCCATGTTTTGTCATATTGATATGGAAGCTTGCTCAGGTAGTGTAGATTCAAGTTTGTTCAAATCATGACCCATGGGGGTAGGGTGGGGCCACAATGGGGGATCATAGTTTTCCATAGGAATATATAGGGGAAAAAACTTGAAAAATCTTCTTCTCAGGAATAGCAAAGCCATGTTTTGTCATATTGATATGGAAGCATCTTCAGGTAGTGTAGATTCAAGTTTGTTCAAATCATAAACCACAGGGGTAGGGTGGGGCCACAATGTGGGATCAAATTTTTACATAGGAATATATAGGAAAAAATCTTTTCATCAACAGAAAAGCCATGTTTAGTCATATTGATATGGAAGCATCCTCAGGTAGTGTAGATTCAAGTTTGTTCAAATGATGGGGGGGGGGGGGGGTAGGGAGGGTCCACAATGGGGGATCAAATTTTTAACAAGGGAATATATAGGAAAAAAATCTTTAAAAATCTTCTGCTCAAGAACAGTAAAGCCATTTGTTATATTGATATGGAAGCATCCTCAGGTAGTTCAAAATCCAAGCCCCCTCCCCTTTAAACTTTTCAATACTGAAGTGATTTATGCTTTTTCCTAGCCAATGTGCTCAGGTGAGCGTTGTGGCCCATGGGCCTCTTGTTTTTGATATGATATATTCATTAATCTAGATATGTATCGATATACAGGTAAACTTCAGTATCTCGAACACCGGTATGTCGAATACCACGGATATCTCGAAGTGAATCAACGGTCCCGGCCGTTTTTATTATATTTATGATTTTAAAAAACCCCGGTATCTCGAACACGGAAATCTCAAATACCTCACTTATCTCGAAGTAGATTTACGGTCCCAAGTGCTATAAACACATGCGTTATCTCGAAGTCCAACAAATTCTCGCTCCGCTGAATTCACACCTTAGTACACAATAATCCCATTATGCTAATTTTACGGTCTGTTGAACGTATCCATTAGGTCTAGCACAGGCTTCATGGGACCATTGCTGATAATCACACCTTATTAGTCCCAAGCTGTTGTTTTTGGTAGTTAAATTTAATTACGCAGGCCAGGTGATTTGGAGGTGTTAATAAAATGCACTCTCAGAGATACTTTGACACGATAATGAAACAGCGGCTTGGGGACGATTACTGTACTAGAAATTTAAATTATCGAAAATACACACTTATACACATCATTACATATCAAAGTATACACTGAACACATCAAAGTGATATTGAACTCAAGAAATTAAACAATTAAAGACATTATTTTGAGTATAAAAGTCAGTACCAAAAATCAAATCTTCAGTAAATATCATGTCCGATAAGGCAGTCTAACGAAGGACCCGGTAGCCAACCAGGGGGGATAGTTAGATTATCTGACCGTGGTGTAAAAAGAAAACTTAAAGTTCATACAATCGAAACAAAGTTTGCTTTTGTTTATTCATATTGGCAATTTCAATAAATTATTGTAGAACGATAATTCCTGTTGTTACATTTAGGCATGTGGGTATATGTACATATCCTGTTAAAGTCTTTGTGTATCACATTATATCATGATATACTTCAGACAAATTAGTACACCCATAGTTTTGAATATAATTCATACATTGATTTCATTTGCCACAATGGTCTCTTTAATATTGCAATAATGCATTTGGTCTTCCTAATGCATGTATAATGCAGGTACTGTATATACTCTATGTCCAGCTTATAGGTGAGTCATAAAAAGATTAGTATTTTGAAACCAGGTTAAAACATCAGAGCATTGATTTGAAATTGTCAATTGATTCTGGCAAAAAGTTGTACCGATTTATAAGCGGGTTAATAGCAAATCCCTCCAAAATAACCTCAAAAAATACAACTGACTTATAGGTGGACCACCTTATAGGCAAGTATATATACGGTATAGTTTTTGTTGAATTTTGCTAACAGCAAAACACTATATGAATAATGAATTTTGGAAAAAAAAGATTATTAAGTTTAATGATGCATGTATGTAGTATAGAAATATTGTTCATATGCCTGTACATGGTACAAATATGCATTTTACAGAGTGTACATATGCCAGAATCATATGGACTGCAGACTGGCCCTGGTGATTCCGTTAAGAAAAAAGAGGAAAAATCAGTGCTTGTGCTCATTGGTCATTGGACAAAGGTAAATAGATTTATTTCATGAAACTAAACATGTAAATTACTAGGATATTAAAATATCACAATTAAAATACATGTACTGATTTATATATATATGGATATCAGTTGGTCTCCTTGATGGAGTTAAATGCATTTGTTATCCCTTTTAAGTGGATCATATAAATATTATGCAGTTTATTTAGAAGCTCTTTATTATCTGCACTGTTTACTTTTACAGGGTGTATGCCAGAATTTTTTCAAGAACAGTCTGAATCTGACATGGAAAAAATGAAGAAAAACAGCCTTCCTGTTTATAAATCTACATTCTGACAAAGGGTAATTTTGTTTAGTTCAATTAGAAGTGCACATTTAATTTCAGTTGCTTTCCTTAATGATATATTATAGCATTTTTATTCCCTTATGAACAATATGTATACTTGTAAAGCATGTATCACAAAATCTTCTGCAAACAAAGTTTTGGGTGTATAGTGTTTGTTGTTTAACATCCCTCTTGAGAATTTTTCACTCATATGGAGATGCCACCACTTGTCGGTGGAGAGCTGCAAATTTTTATCCTATACTCAGCACTTACGGCCATTGAGCATTGAGAGATCTTTATCGAGCCAGCACCTACTGTGACATGGGACCTTGGTTAATACCTCTGTCTCATCTGAAGAACGGGTCTCCACGTCCCACAGTGGGATTCAAACTCGCGATGTAAGGATCAGCTTCTTTCTCGGCGACTCTAGAGTAGACGCTCTAACCACTGCATCTGCTCTACTTTGGCAACTTTGGGTGTATGTAAGCATAGGAATCATCATGTCCATCTGTCTGTTCATGTGTTTGGCCACTTTTATGATTAGTTTTTTTGTTCCAATTCTGGCTGAGATAAATTGATTTAAGTCATCTAAATACAAACAAATTAAGGGAAATTACTATGGTATTGGAATGAACATTTTGGAATACTGTCTAATTGTTCCATTGTAGTTGGTTTCTTTAATGTTGAAATAATGCATCTGGTCTTCCTAATGCATGGCATACACTGTATGCATGTGTAATGTTAAAGTTGGCTGAATGTAAAACAGTTCTTGCGTTATGACAAAAGTAAATAGATTTAGTTCATGTAACTAAACATGTAAATTATTAGGGTATTAAAATCTCAAGTTTTGAATACTGATTTACATGTGGAGAGTAGTTGGTCTCCTTAATGCAGTAATAATACATTTGGTCTCCCTTATGCATACTGTATATTATATAAATTTAATGACTGACATGTACGAGGGTTGATCCAAAAGTTCATGGAATTTCTTCATATTTTATTTTTTTATTAGTGAAAGTGGTTGAATACTGATTTACATGTGGATAGTAGTTGGTCTCCTTAATGCAGTAATAATACGTTTGGTCTTCCTTATGCATACTGTATATTACATAAATTTAATGACTGACATGTACGAGGGTTAATCCAAATACTCATGGAATTTCTTCATATTTTATTTTTTTATTGGTGAAAGTGGTTGAATACTGATTTACATATGGATAGTGGTTGGTCTCCTTAATGCAGTAATAATACATTTGGTCTCCCTTATGCATACTGTATATTATATAAATTTAATGACTGACATGTACGAGGATTGATCTGAAAGTTCATGGAATTTCTTATTTTATTTATTTATTAGTGAAAGTGGTTGAAAATTATAAGAATATAGACACTTGTTGAATTTTTTTAATAAAAAAATATTTTAAATATTAATGATAGTAACTCTATCATGGCAGTTGCCATAGCAAAGGATATGTTTTAAAATGCAGGGGAGACATTTACTCGTTCATTATCATTTTAATTCTTAATACGTGATATAAGAAAAAAACCTGCACTAAGTGGCAAATAAAATGAGAATTTTGTCATTATTACGATTGCTTGACCACTAATATACCTGTCTGTGAGAGTTTTACTGATTTAACTTGATATTTAGATTATTAGTTGATGATTTCTTGTTCATCTTTTAATTGTTAGAAAACGTCGCATTTCAGTCAAGTTATAAGTTTTGTTAAAATCTTAGGAACACTCTGACTTAAAGGGGTATACTACTGATACAGGCTGGAGAAAAATGCATTTAGCAACTGATTTTCCAGTGGCGTGAGAAATTTAAGAACAATAGAACTTCCATGGAGGTTAATTAAGGTGTGGCTGCTTTTGGAGGGTCTGTTTTTCTCGTAGACAAATTAAGCGTTGATGGATGTTGACCGCTGACGTACTGTGCTTGACTTTGCTACTGAAATTGACACATCATATGGAAAGATGGGGAGTATTTTTGAAATATGAGTGTAATATAAAGATAAGTCGATTGGTGGATACCCAGGCTTTTCTTGAGAGAAAAAAGGAGAAAAAGGCAGAATATTCTGTAGAATTACTTAGTTGAATTGAACATGAGGGTGAGATGCTCCTATAACATGACATGACATACTTAACTTGACGTTACATCGAAGTCTCCCCCGGATTTTACAACTATCAGTGTTCAGAAAGCTCATGTGACCTTATTGGTAATTAGAACGTGGTGAAATTTTCCAGTATTGTTGCATAATGACTCTATATTATAAATATGCCTATTGTTTGCTTTCATCAAATCACAATAAAATTTTAGAAATAATTAAATTCCATGAACTTTTGGATCAACCCTCGTATTAGAAAAAAGATGGATCTAAGATTGAACAGGTTATAATTCACCTGAGTCATTTAAATTACTTATTGCTATCTGTTCTTGTTCAGTCATCATGTGTCAAGTATTGTCTGTAAACTATTGAACATTTTCAGCTTCTTTTCTGGAACCAGTTTCAACTAATTTCTCGGTTGAAGTACTGTATAGGGGATTAATTTCAGGGGTTGTAATGTTCATGTTTTTCTCTCCTCTGACACGAGCGAGGTTTGTTGAATTCGCGGAATCGGTATATAACTAAGGTTACATGTACCTCCCTTCAATGTCTATATCCATTTAATCAAGTGCATAGCTAGAAGGCATTAATCAGCGTTATGTATTCACTTCACGAACAACAGGGTAGATTTATATATACATCAGCAAGTTCAATAGTTATTTGAATGATTTTTTAAAACCAAAATGTCGATAAAAACATGATAATGCAGGTAACAAATACACGTCGTAACATAGTTAGGTACGGGTATTCAAAACCCATGACCCTAGTGTTTTGATTGATGAAACATGTAGCGTTGGCTATTAAAACAGTTTTTTTTTTTTTTTTACAAATACAGGTTATTATCTGCTGGGTGATCTAAATTAATGTCAAGCGTGATAATAAAAATAATTGAATGACAAGTACGATTCGTAATTACTAAAATGACCATGCACTGCACGTATATTTACCTATCGTAGTCTATTCTCAAATTTCCAAATATAACATGTAGGTTATTGAAAACTTATTCACTGTTTCTTGAATTCACGGATTTATTCACACCGTGAATATAGCGAATATTAACACCACGAGTTATTTTCCCCCTATACAGTATACAGACTTAATATAGAAATGATTTTTTCAACTTTCTCAATCTATTATGAATTTAAAAATGTAAATATAAGCATTTAATTGTAAATATTAAACATTTAGCATCTCATAACCAGAGTTGGAAATTACTGACTGCCCGAGGCAGTCTGTTTTTCAGGTAGGCAGGGACAAACTTTAGATTAACCTCGGTGGTCGGGGTCATTTAAACAGGTAGTTCCTGTTTTCCTTTTTTTTTCAGGGTATAGTAAGTCTATAGAAATTAAGTAAAATATAGTATATCAAAGGAACACTTCTAGCTAAAAATATGAGATGACTTATAGGACCAATATTGGTTTCAGTCTTTAGAGAAAGCTTACCGATATATGTTCCGGTCACTGACTTTAGGTCACATGTGTGTAGTTTCTTGTTTCTCATGTATTGCTTTAGTTCTACATTAATGGTAATCTAACAACCAAGCTTTATGATAAACGTGATGACTTTAACTTTTCAATCGTCAACTTCCCTTACTTATTCAGCAATATACCTTCATCACCTGCATACGGGGCTTATATCTCTCAGTTGATTCGATACGCAAGAGCATCCTCTATGTATGAACAATTTTTAAAAGGAGGTAAGTTATTGACAAACAAATTGCTGAAACAAGAATATCAGCAGTCTTGTTTAAAGTCATCATTTTGTAAGTTCTATGGTCGATACAATGACCTTGTCAGAAATACAATTTATCATTAAGTAAAATGCTGACTGATGTTTTTCGTACTCATTGTTAGGCCATTATTTACACACTGAATTGTGTATGGATTTTTCTATTGTTTCCCAGTCGTGACAAGGAGCACACAGCGGGTGTGACTGGTCTACAGGGGATGCTCACTCCTCCATGGCACCTGATCCCACCTCTGATGTTTTGGAGGTCCGTATTTGCTCTCCTCCTATTTTGTATTTTTTGATGGGCTTTTGAGCTTGAATACTGATTGTTATCTCGATATATTTCATTCTACTCAACTGTGTGTTCATGTGATCCTACCTCAGTATTTACAGAATGATACATCCTTTGTTTGAGGGTCATTCTTGATGTCTGACTGAGTAATGGCAATGGGACATAAAACCTTAACTGACCTTACCACATTCTTTTCTGATCTGAAAACCCTCATGCATTTTTAGCATAACATATCGCCAATGCTCACATTTTTCCCGAGGAATGAACTGCATCTACTCTGCATAGAACAGTATCTCTCCCACTGGCACAACAGTACTATTATACGTCATTATGTTCTTGAAAGGCAAACACAGCAATTATTGCTCGGCATGATTTTTTTTCATGACACCTGCAGTATCGAGTAACACAAAGTGAATGATTCATGTCCTCGAACAAAGTGTGCTTACAATGAGGTTTAGTTCCGGTTGATTGCGTTTAGTTAAAGAGAATTTATGACCTGCATTTCCATAGATGTCTTTTATATCAACACCAAACATGCATTTAAGGAAGAAAATATATTAAGTAAAATGCAAAAGCCTGTATTAAAAAATCAAAAGACAAGTGCACTTAAGCAATGCTTAAAGCTGAACACGACTCGTAAATAGGTATACGCCATTTTCGATATTATATCTACGATATCAACACCAAGGTATACTCTTCGCATTCGTTACACCTGACTGCTTTATTGTCACGGGTATCAGCGTGGAATGGCGACCCGTGTTCATGCTAGTAATCTTGCAATACCTTGTTTACATTTTATTGCAGTTACATGTATCTTTGTTTGTTTGTATACTGCACTGACCTGTACAACTATTGTAAGTTTCTTTGGTATCTTACTTTCCTGCATTAGACGAAGTATTAGTTATTTTTGTCGCTACCGAGTGCTGTATGGTATACGTCCGTCTACACCTGTGTCAACCGATTACACTGAACAGTGACTAAGTCAGGCCCTTTATATAGGGGTCCTGAGATATAGCGAGAGTCCGATCGAAAATGGCAGACACATTCTTTTTACGAAGCGTGTTCAGCTTTAATGGGCCCTTTTTCAGTGCCATATTACTTTAGAATGTATTACCAAATTGTTCTCTTTTGGTAATAGTTAAACACAAGTGGACATTTCTAATTAAAATCACATTAAAACATCACCTAAATCAGCATGGATTTGAAACAAATGAAGTTTTTTAAATGCCTATAGATACCCCAAATCCGGAAAAGTCATACCGAACCTATTTTGAGTTTCGTTTATTTAAATCAAGGGGAGGAGACATTTAATTCAGACACTTGAACAATCTGATGGTGGATCATTGACAGGCGCGTTTGCCGAATGATACTTCTTGTGCTATTTTACCCGAGAAAAAAATCGAATGAAGTTGTATAGATACCTGTATCTGTATCCATAGTGATCAAACTAAAAAATTTGCATGCTTGCATTTGAAATAATACAATAAGTATTAACATTAGTTCCTTTAAATTTTAAAATGAAAAAAAAGTGTATTTAGGTGGCTTTCAATACCGGTACCATTGTCTTGCATGAATGTTAAAAATGTTTGACACTTTTATTTATGATGACATTTTAACGACACTTAACTCTCCTAACCATCCCGTGTTCCTAAAACCAAATACATACAAACTTCTCTATGCGGCTTGACTTCGATATAATGATACAGAACGTGGTTATGTTTTACAGTGAGCATCTTTGAGGAATGTTTACCTGGGTAGAACTCACGTGACTACCAGTATTTTAAATAATTTATTCCACGGGTGGGTTCAACATAGGTCATACAGGTAAATAGCTCTTGCTTGTTATAGGAAAAACATTGAACATTTCATACATTTTTAATATTTTAAGTACAAGCCTAATCATGTACAAATTTCCTACTTTCACACAAGTTTTATATTAAATGTATAATGCATTTTTTTTCAATCGCACAAGTTTGTACAATGTTAGGTTGACAATAAACAAAAGCTTTGAAATGATTGACCGTCCTTGATTTACTATAGAAAATCACGAATGTCGACTGACCCCTACCACATTGTATGGCTTTGCTCTTTGTATATTCATGAATTTCAGCGATAAAATTTGTTGAATCTTATGGTTTAGATATCAATTAATGATCTGAGATGGAAAATTATGCTTAATTTAATTCTTCATTTTTTCACATTTTACCGGGGCCCATAAGTGCACTCGTTCTTTAGTGTTTATACAGGTAAAAAGTTTGAAAAAATAAAAATGTGCCAACAAATGGTTTCGAACCAGAACACTAAAAATGTTCATGGTAAGAGTCTGCGGTCTATTGTTCTGGGCTATGCTGACTATGAGGAAATTTGTAATAAATATAAACCAGTATGATAGAAATAGGTTTTCACGTTTTTTGTAGTTTTTTTTCTATGAATTTCTACCCTAGGCACCTCTAAAAGAACCTTGTTTTAAATAATTGCTTACTAGATCAAAATCTATCAAAATTTCATAATTTAATTTAGGGGCAGGCAAAGGGTGATTTTATTGCATCTATTGGGTATAATTTTCTTATCAGAAAATTGTAGAGATATGCAAGGTTAATTAATGACAACATTTATTTTTCCTTTTTGCCTAATACTTTTATGATTTTCACTAATAAATTGATTATTGAAAAAAGCCTTTAATATGACTGCTGATTTTATCTCCATCTGTTAATTTTCAACACCTTTTCTCATGATTATAGTAGATAGAGAACAGATTATGATTTCTAACATTTACTTTTACAGATCATTTTCTTGAGATAGGTGGAACCAACAGTCAAATACAGACACTTTTAAGAAAAGTAAAAATCTGGCTCAGCTAAAAAAAAAAAAAAAAAAAAAAAATCATTTACAGTTTTAACAATTAGTAATTTTACCTTAATTAACTGGAAAAATCTTATTTGACGAAATACAGGTCAAGAATGAAGAGTTTAAAGCCTAGTTGGGATTTTTGTCAATCATTACAGGTAATCTGCAGTCCCTCTCGAGAATTTTACACTCATATGGAGATGCCACCACTTGCCAGTGGAAAGCTGCAAATTCTGTCCTATACTCTGCACTCATGGCCATTGAGCAGTGAGGGGTCTTTTTCATGCCAGCACCTACTGTGACACGGGACCTTGGTTTATAAGGTCTCATCCGAAGGACTGGTCTCCATGTTCCACAGTGGGATTCAAACCTGCGACATAAGGATCAACTCCTTACTTCGCGACTCTAGAGCAGACGCTCTAACCATGGCGCCACGCTTGTGACTAGCTCAGTTTTAAAGAAATCATTCAAGATATTTTTTATCAAACTTAATATGCTGATACATATATAATTTATTTAGTAAGACCTATTCAACTATTTCAAAAACTTTTTACCTTTCCTGTGACCTTGACCTCACTTTCCTTCAATTTGCATTTTGCATGGTTTTAAAACCATTTAAAATATTGATATTTAAGGCTATGCATCTATACATAATTTGGTGAGAATTTATCATCTATATCCATTTTTTTTAGATTTCAATTTCGATTTTAAAGAAACTTTTCAAGATATTCTCATCAAACTTCATACACTAACACAAAATTTCATGTTGCATTACTATACACTTGGCGGGCATACATGTCTTATGGACATATTTCTAGTGTATTGCTATTTCTGTTGTTTGTTTACTTCTGGTCAGTAAGTGCCCACTAGGGGCAAGCCCCAGTCCTGTTTTCTTTTCCAGGGTTGCAACAGTGCCCCCTAGAAAAACAAGTTGCACCATCCAATCAAATGGTGTTTTGTGCTGCTTTATGCCAATGAAATTAAGGCTGGACAGCATATGTATCATATTCTGACCAATGGGGTTGCCGTATTTTCAAAAAATTAGGATAGACTTACCACTTCAGCATTCCTTTCATCACTGAAGTGATATACATGGTCAAAAATTAAATAACTTTCATTTTTGTGTCAACTGCAGAGCAGAACGACACTTAGAGATCACTTTACCTGGTGTCTGTCTGTCCGTCTGTCACACCTTATATCTCAAAATTTTGAGAGGCAGGGTTTTGATAATTAGCATTTATATATGTTTTTGAGCTCATGATACTATACTTTGAAACTGTATGAAATTCAGTTACCACACAAACTTATATTTAAATACATGAAAATGCATTGGGATCAGTATTCCACAATGAATCGTGTTGACTGACAAAGTGACAATTAAAGTAAAGACAGTCTGAAATTCCTTTCCTCCGAGGATTGTTGGAAGCACCTACATGTGTATTAATAAAATGATAAATAGTTATTCCTCATAATTTCAATTAAATTATTCATTTGAGGACTGGGGAACCATATTTTCTTTGATTGCCAGATTCTCTTTTAAATACTTTTGGATCCTTTTTTTCCTTGCAGGCAAATGCATGAACCTCCATGCTAATATTAAATTAATAGCTGACCACTCTTAGATTTATTTACCTCTTTAATGACGATACCTAGCAGGTGACATATACATTCCTTGAAACACTCTAGTTCCTATTTGATTTTCACTAATATAAAGATTATTGAAAAAAAGACTAAGGTGCTCTATAGTGATCAGTCTATTCATTCATCTGTCTGTCAAATACACATATCCCTTGTTCAGAATACAGGTGACTCTAAATACTTCAAACTTTATATTTTTTAATTAGATACATGTAGCTGCTTTGGAACATCTGAAAGGTCTATTACATTATCACTAGTTTTACTAGTTTTCTTCATGTAAGTTGAATATATTTTAAATTTTTAAATTTTTATTTTTTCCAGGTAAGAAAGAAATTCAGGATTTCTTAAATTGCCCTTGGAGTTCTTGGATTGCATCAAACTGCTAAAAGACCTCAACAAAAACAGCGTCTTGAAAATAAAAATGAAAATATTCAGTGAAAAAAAAATGATGAAAGAGCCACTAAAAATCTTCAAGCCTTTGAGCTGAAATCTGGAAGTCAATCTGTGGACTTTACTAGTAAGTCATAATTACTAAGTCATCATTTGTGTATAATAAATACACTAAACTGTAAACACTTGTTAAAATGTGTATAATTTTTAGATATAATTTGTATCTCATAGACTTCAATAGTTTCATGTAATTTAAGTAATAATGAAAATTTCCTGTTGTCTAGCTAGATTAGAAACTATTATTGTCCAATTTTGGATATTGTGAAATAATTCATCTAGTATGCATACATGTGTGTACACTTTAAGTGATTTTTCTACACCAAATTTAGGTCCGAATATCGGCCCTTTCCCCTGTCAAAAGTTACCAAGTTTTTCCCAATTTAAATTGCTTTTTTCCCAAAATAAAACCATGATGAAGAATAAAGACAATCATTGACAAATTTCAAAGATTTAAAAAAAATAAGAAAGTTATAAAATTTAATGTACATGTAGAACTGTGTCTAATTTGTTATTTTATCAGCAATAAATTGAATAAATGATTTTAAAATTACTTATATATGTCATTTTACCTGTAAATTAAAGTTAACTACAATCTTATTGATTTTTCCCAAGTTGGCACAGATATCGATGATTTTTCCCAATTGTAAAGGCCCAGGCCCCTTTTAAAAAATGTAAAAAAATCACTGACTTACGTGTTAATTAATTGTTATAGCAAATTCAATCGATCATTAAGTTGAATGTTGACTAATGTTTTTCATCAAAATTGTTTACACTGAATTGTTTGTGGATTTTTCCATTTGCCCAATCATGTCAAGGAGCACATGGCAGGAAATGCTTTCTCCTCCATTGCACCTGGTGTTTTTAGAGGTCTGTGTTTGCTCTGCTCTAATTATGTATTGTTTCAATGGACTTTAAAGCTTGATCACTGTTGGTAATCTTCATATTTCATATACTATTAGAGTACTTGAAGAAAACTGTAAAGATTTAACATACAGTATAATGCATGTATATTGCACTTTAAGTACAGTGTATGTGGTTAAGAAATGTTAAATCGTCTCATAGTGCATTGAATTTGTTGAAAATTAGAAAATGTGTTGAATTTTTTTTTGAAATAATGTTAGATTGCAGATTTTTTTAAATCATGCAAGTAAGAAATTGCTAAATATTTTTTAGCTTTTCTGGACAGTCTAGATGAGTTCTTACTATATACCTAGCATTGTCATCCCAGTTAAAATTTAAGGAACAAGGTTCATTCCTAAGCTCTACCTGGACAAACTTGCATGGATTAAAGCACATTAACAGATTTACTTCAAATGCTTGACCTGATCTACATTTTCCTCATGTGTTTTTTTGTTTTTGTTTGTTTGTTGTTTAACATCCCTCTCAAGAATTTTTCATCCATATGGAGATGCCACTACTTGCTGGTGGAGAGCTGCAAAATTTGACCTATACTTTGCACTCAGGGCCTTGAGCAGTAAGGGATCTTTTTTGTGCCCACATCAACTGCTAGGCGGGACCTCGGTTTATATGGTCTAATCTGAAGGACTGGTCCCCACATCCCCAGTGGATTTGAACCTGAGACTTAAGGATTAAATCCTTACTCGCGACTTTAGATTACAAACTCTATCCTTTGCGCCACATGGGGGACTCCACAAGATTAAGTGTTTTGAGCAGTCCTATTCTCATGTAATTATAAACTCTATGTTGAGCAAACCTGCAAAGATGATGTATGTACATGTAAATGTTTCAGGGTACCAATCCATGATTTGACTTAGATTTTCTGGATTAATGACCAGTTTTTTAGAGAAGGTTCATTCAAAGTAACAATATACTCTTTGGTGATCAGTAAACATAGATGATGTATCCTGCTTCTGATGCTGGATGTAACATACATTTTCAGGGTTATTGAGCAGTTAAATCTAACCCAGACCAACTTGCATAGATTTTGGATCCAGGTGATATACATTACCAGAGTGTTTGTTGAGTGAGACTTTGCCTTACTAGTAGATAACATTTATAGAAGTGAGCTTTGTATTCTTTGATTAGGTATGTTTTTTCTTTGCTCGGAATATATATGTACCATCAGTGCCAACTACCATACATTTTATATAATAGATGTAGCTGTTGTTCAACTGAATATGATAAAACTGTGGATGAAAATAATTTGATTTTTGTACCTTTGAATGTATTGAATTAATTTGTAAAAGCTGTTATGATACAATGTTTGATATTTTATAAAAGTTTTTAGCATATGCAATCAATAAATGTATCAACATTTTTATTTTATTATACTTTTTACCCTGCAAACTTCTTAAAAACAGAATAGTAATGATCCATTTAACTGATACTAGGTTAGTGTCACATTGTACTGGTATATCATGTATACTGAACTGTAAATAAGAAACATCTAAATAGGTAAAATCACAGCATGAATCATTGGATTATGTAAGAAGTGCACTATCTTGTGCTTTGGTATGGTATTAATAATAAATGTTAAACTATCATTTTTTTTTTCAAATTAACAAAGGATATGCTTGAGTGACTGTATTTTGACTAGCAGTAAAAATAAAATGATTTTTAAGCATTTGAATTATTTTGATTCATGGTCTCTGCAAGTTTAATGATAGCAAATATGTATATTGAACATGGCATCCACATACTGCTATACGGGATGGGGCATAACTTTTACTGAATCTTAATCACAACCTTGAAATTTTATGTAGTACATGTACTCTTGGTTTCAACTGGTCAAATGTATTCTTAAATCAGAAAGAATTTAAACAAATATAGGCATAGGTCAGAACTTTATCAATTAGTTGGAAAGCGAATGCACTCAGTGACTATGGTTTAAAAGAAGCTGGGTATAAATAGCAGGAAAAACTACTTGATGTCCACTGTGAACTTTGTGTCCTCAACAAAACAATATGTAGTATACTATACTTGGTCTAAAGAATAATCTGTGTCTGCATTCACTTTTAGGTTAAACTGTTTTGGGCATTGATAGTTTGTTTAACGTCCCTCTGGAGAATTTTTCACTCATATGGAGATGCCAACACTTGCTGATGGAGAGCTGCAAATGACCTATGCTCGGCACTCAGGGCCAATGGGCAGTGAGGGATCTTTTTCATGCCAGCATCTACTGCGACACTGGACCTCTGTTTGTACGAAGGACAGGTCTCTACGTCCCACAGTGGGATTCAAACATGTGACAAAAGGATCAACTAACTCCACGACTCTAGAGCATAGGCTCTTTCCACTGCACCACGTGGGCGACAGCATTGAGAGTTAAATGTGGATATCAGAACAAGCTACTCTGGGCTTATACTCTCTATATATTGATTGATTGTATGTTGTTTTACATTCCTCTCAAGATTTTTTCACTCATATGGAGACACCACCACATGCCGGTGGAGATCTGCAAATTTTGTCCTATACTCGGCACCTACGGCCATTGAGCATCGAGGGATTTTTTTCGTGCCAGCACCTACTGCGACACAGGACCTCGATTTATTCGGTCTCATCTGAAGGACAGGTCTCCCCATCCCACAGTGGGATTTGAACCTGCGACGTAAGGATCAACTCCTTACTTCGCTACTCTAGAGCAGATGCTCTAACCACTGCGCCAATGGGGCAACTACTCTCTATTTAAGTCACTTGTGCAATGACTTTAGTTTAATTCAAAGTTTTGTACTGATCATGTTGAGTCACATTAGTCACATTTCTGCTGACCTTGACTAATGACCATCTGCAACTATTCTGGTTGGAAACAATATTTTAATTAATGCATAATAAGTGAAATTACTATGAAAGAAAAATGGTCTACTTAAACCACAAGTTATATTTATAAAAAATATACACTGGTCTCCTTAAGTCATATGAGAGAAACATAAAATATTAAGGAGACCATTTTTTTCATATATTTTTAGGAGGCATTTATTATGAAAAAATAAAGCAAGAGTCGACTAAATGGTGTTCTATAGATCTTTGATCTGGTATTTCTTTTTAGAAAAAAGCAAATTTAAAAAATCTGTATATTGTCTCCTTAAGCCATATATAATGGTCTGGTCTCCCTAGTCCTTAAATCAGAGTTATATATATATATATATATATATATTTATATATAAATATATATATAAAATATGTATATGGGTGTGCGTTTGTATATTTATGTTCTTAAGTGTTTTCTTCAAAACGTTACATTAATTAAATTGTCCTTCATATACGTGGTCGTTTTTGAATATGTATTGGGAAGAGCACGTTGTAAACGCCTTTGTTTTTATATTGAAGCCTTGCAATCCTAAAATAAATTTAACTAATGCGAACATTTCACGACTTAAATTTTGGAAGCACGTTTTAAGTCTTATACCTATTATGTGAAATACGTGACAATCGTCCGTTTTAGTTGTAATTTTCTTCACTTAGAATTTATAGCAAAAGAAGATAAGTGTATTTGGCGTGTGATCTGTAGGAATAAAATGTAGGAAATATTTATAGTTTAAGTATCATAATTTGGTCGGTTGACCACATCTTGACAGACTTTACAAAGTTACACACATAGAAAAATGTTTCATTGGCATTAAAATACCTTTTAGAATTGTGATATTTAAATCAGCTTATATTAAAATAGGCTTATCGTTTCTGAGAGTAGAGGGGCAGCCCGAAAAATATTGACACCTTACTTAAATAAAATTTAACAAGCAAAACCCCAAGCAACAAAGGATGTTTGTGAAACCCTTATGCCCCCCCCCCCCCCATAATTTGAATTTTTCTACGTCCAAAGGGCAAAACTCCGTCAAGAATTCATCGAACGTACCAAAAACAGAACTTGACCTAGATATTCCTATGAGAAAGCTGTATACCAAATATTTCATTATGTGCAACCTATGCAAAGAAAATGAACGGAAACTGTTGGTGGACAGACCGACTGACAGACAGCAGCAAAGCAATATGCCCTCCCTTCTTCGATTGATTGATTGTATGTAGTTTGACGTCCCATTCGAGAATTTTTCACTCATATAGAGACGTCACCATATACCGGTGAAGGGCTTCAAATTTTGACCTTTACTCGGCACTGAGGGCCATTGAGCAGTGAGGGTTCTTTATCGTGCCAACGTCTGCCGTGACACGGGCCTCGGTTTTTAATGTCTTATCCGAATGATCCGCAATATTCACTTCAAAGTGCCGAGCGCATGGCGAAGGAACTTGCTACCCATTTTTTATCGACTTAGGTCAGTCGCGGCCGAGATTCGAACTCACGACCTCCCAATCACGGAGCGAGCGCTCTACCGACTGAGCTACCGTGAACGTAACGGTTTCTCCTTTCTTCGAAGGGGGGCATAAAAAAGGAAAATTGTCCAAACTCGAACCAAAAACCTTAATTCCCAAGTGCTTTGGACTAGTGACGCATATACTAGTGAGCTATCGTCGAGACACAAACGATATGGATTTTATAACAAGGCAGCACCGCATCTACACGGTGGGAATTT